TGCGGGACGGAAAGGAAGCCGCCACCTCGGATACGAACTGTCCAACCACGATGTGAGCGTCAGAGGAATGGCTGCAGACGCCGGGGGATGCCTGGGCGCCGGCTCTATGTGAAACCAGCTCTGCCACTTTGGGATCAGTTTCCAAAACAGGATTCTGAACACCTGGCAGAGAGGTATTTCCATCAGCTTTATCGTGAGAGTCTGAGCAGTGGTCTCGAGTGTTTGCCGTCACCGGCTCCATTCTGCCATGAGAACGATCTTTGCCAGTTTCCTCAGGTGTGGGAGATAGTGTCTCTCCAGCCACTCCGTCTTCTCTAGGCTGAACAGGATTATGTTTATCTTTATTTGCCTTCATTTCTTTTTCTAGAATTCCTCTTTCAGCATTTTGTGGTGATTCCGATGCAGTGTCGGTGTTGGTCATTGAGGGCTGTTGGGGCGTCTGTACGGTGCACTGGCCAGCGGGATAGCCGAATGTAAGCATTTCTCCAGAGACGCTTGCGTTGGGGACACTCGCCTGGACTTGAGGGAAGTGTTCTCCAGCAGGTATGTTGTTTTGCATCGACTCAGGCTGGACTGCAGGAGCCCAGCGAGGCCTGGGCTGAACGGGGGCCTGGCCAGTGATACCCTCAAGTGGACTAAAGGGGGCACTAAAGTCATAATCTATAAGCGGTGCAGCAGGACAGGCGGCAGGTAGGTCAGACCCGATCTCCTCTAGGGCTTTATCCACTTGCTGACTGTCAGGTTTTGGCGATTTGGGCAGAAAGTCATTGATGTCCAGGTCATCGGAGATAAGAGCAGGATCTGCCATCGTCAGATCATCCTGCAGTAACACAGTCTCTGCCGACTGAGAGGGAAATTCCTGTCAACATAAGCACATAATTCAAAGACGTGTCAACCTTTAAAGAGGTCATATAATGGAGTAAAACGTTTGGGATTAATTAATAGAATCAGTACCAGAGCTTGTTGGGGTGCAGTCTGCTGTGCTGAGAAAACTGCTGGACATTCCACAGGAGGCCCGTCCTGGCCCAAAGGATAGCTCTCCAGGATTGCCTGGACAGCGGGGTCACAAAAGGCCCAATTAAAATATTTAAGGAAATGTAAAGAAGCGGTTAAAAAAAAAAAACATCTTCCATCATTCTGCTTGCAAAGCAGATTGACTTTCTTTGTATGTTTGACAGTGCAAAAACTGTCAAGAGGACTTTCAGAAGACTTGGCAGCAAGGGCAAAGAAAGCATCCGTCAAATGAATCTGTGGATCTGAATCACCGTCTTTTAAAAATCACAAGATAAGGTACTGGCCTTGGCAGAAGATGTGCTCGGAAAATATATTGGCTTTGTGTGTGTTTATTCATCACCAACCTGAATTTTCTGCCTGTCGAGCATGAAGAACTGAGCCCGGGCTTCGTCGAGTCTCATTCGCTGCACTCTCCACATGGCCCGTCTCTCCCTGCGAGCCGCTTCCTCTGACAGATGGCTGTACTGAGCAATCAGCTCCTTCCTGCAATTCGAAAGAAGGAACAATATGTAGAGCTTAATCCTTTTAGCTGAGGGTCTTATCCACAGCAACATGCAGCGGCCGCATAGCTGGGAAAGTGAACGTGGCATCGCTCTGTGGCACCGTCATAGTTAGCTTCTTGCTTTGCCTATGCTTAAATGCTGTGATATTTTCATACACTTGAGAACAAAGTCACTGTAATAATTTATTTATCACTGATTCCTGCGAAAAATACAGAATCCTGCTTAATACTGTTGTTTTTTGTACCGTTCAACCCTTAATAAAATGTATTTAGAGAATTTCTGAATTTCTCAAATATTACAGGGAGAGAGGAATAATGCCGGATGAAAACCAGCTGGATAAAAAGCTGCAGATGGCAGATGCTTTCTTCAGCTTTGGCACGCTAGGTTCTCCAACATGTCGTCAGGCTGAATAACAGCTCACTGTGTGCATTACAAGCTCTGACAGCATTTGCTCATGCAGCAGCATCAGTCCCTTATCCCGACTGTAAGGAAACGTGGCACTCATCCAGCCACTGACATGTGCTGGCGGAACGGATGCCCCGTCGGGCTTCAACATAGTTAGGACACATTATCTATATATAACAAAATCTGAAAATCAGAGATTGAATCATCCATAGGGGAGGGAAAAAAATAACTGTGGTCACAGAGCTGTCAGACCTGGCTCTCTGCTCCAGCTGCTCCTCCAGGGCTTGTAGTCGCTTTTCTCTGTCTCTAAGCTCTCTGGCAAAGCTGAAATCATCCTCCTCCTGCTTTTTCTTGGCTGCACTTCGCCACTGTTCCCAAATGCACAAACACACATACGCGTGCACATCATTAGCTCAAAGCATAAACAGAAATATACAAGTCCAGCTTTTGCTGACATTTTTTAATCCATCTCATGGCCTTCTCAGCCTTTTTTTTGCAATCACTCCAGTTTAAAACTTTCTCACACTTTTCTTTTTGTAACTACTTTTGAACTTTGTCTCCCATCTACCTCTTGCTCCTGCTCCAGGTGCTGTTTTAGTTCCTCAAAACGCTCCCTTTTCTTGGCCTCCTCAGCCAGACGCAGTGACACCTGGCGCCCTGCAGGAGGTTAGAGAGATAACAGTGGGTGTTTACCCCTCCGCACAAAGAGAGGCACATAACATCTCCGTCTCTTTCCTTCTCTCGAGCACACATGCTGCAACCCAAACCAACATCACCATCTGCTCCACAATCAAATAAGCCTATGCCAAGACATGCAAGGAGCATCAGGCCAGACATTTCCCAAGCCAATCACCTCCCTTCTCTAGCGCTGCCTCACATCTTCTGCAGTAATAAATGATGTGAGGAGTTAGCTAAACTGTGTGAGTGATGATTAGATTTTATAGCCTGCGGTAATGGAAACTATTCAAATCATTCCTTCCCTGCAATTGGACCGTGCGCATCTCTGCTGAGAGGAGCTAAGGGAAGTTCTTAGTGAGGATGTGTACTTATTGTGGAGCCATTTTTTCAAGGTACACTTGGCCCGCATGAACAGAAAGAACTGTTTTAAAGGGAAAAAAATTAAATCAAATTACTGGCAGCGCGAGTGTGTTAGTGTGTGTTTAAGTGTGACACTAACCACGGATGCTCTCCAGGGTTTTAGCAGCAGACTCTCTGACCTGATTGATCAGCTCCTGCCGTGCCTGCTCTGTTCGCAGGGCCTAATAAGACAGACAAGAAATCACCATTAACAGAGATTTATCCTCCTGCCCTGCAGCTCACCTTTCCTCTCCTATTCTGCCAATCTCTCCTGCCAGTGTGTTGGATCACATCAAGCAGAAGCCTGAGGGTAGCCCCGCACTCATACATCATGTAATATAACTTAGGAGGTAGAGTTAAGGAAAAAAAAAAGAGAGACTCCAGAGACCATTTGGGTCTAATCTGCTGCATGACAACATGTATGCACGTCATTACTTGCTCCTCCCTGCTGATGGCGCTGTGCTTGGCTATCCTCTCCATGCGTCCGCGGTACACGGCACATTCTTTCTCGATCTCCTCCACCTCCTGGAGGGAAAAGGTGACAGCTATGCGGGGTACTGGCAGCTCCGACCAACAGATGTAGTGCTGCGGAAAGACATTTGGCATTGAGTTAGTGCTATAAAAAGTGTCTCGCAGTTGTGATTTCGATGACTCATCGTGTTGCCTATTCTCAAAGTTCGTTTCACAAAAATAAATATGTTCCACCGGCTGAAAGGGAACGCGACTCTTTTTTTTTACCGGCATGCCTGAAAGCAAACCATCTTCTGGGATTGGGCATTCTCGAACCACCAATATGATTTAAAAACGGTGGTATGGCCTCTAAAGGAATCAGAGTACACCCACTCAGTATTCAAGGTACCCAATGCCTCAGTTAAACTGCCAGTTTTAAATCATTCCTTTTAAATGACACAAATATAATTCAATCTCTTGTCCCTCAGCTTTAAAAATGGTTTTAAATGTCTATCCGAGGGGAGCCAAATCCATGTTTTGTGCACAGTCTATAGCTTGTGCCAACCAGCAGAGAATGTCACAAATCCATAGCATCTGTATTCATTTTTCCTAAAAATATGAGTCCCACAAAATCAGACTATGCCATATATCAGGCTTGTATCAATTTGACTATGAAAAAAGACGCTTTGCTAAAATATTAGAATATTGAATATAAAATATAGATCATTGATCTAAATCCCTACCCTGCTTCAACATTGAGTTATCCAATTTTAGCTAAATAAAACAGAGATGAGTCAGATAAGTCAGAAGGATTGGCAAATAAACCCACAGAATGTGAAAACGTGCTCTAAAAAGGTCGATTTTAAGCATTTCATTGAGGCACACGGACAACTATGGCAAGTAATACGAACACACAATAAAATAAATGCCGGCCTCTAAAACCCGGAGGATAAAAGGATCCACACTCATATATGATCAGTTACTTTTTTGATTTAATAAGAAATAGAAATGTCACACAAATGACTAAAAAATTAAATAAAAAAACAGAATTTTTTGGACAATTTTCGAGCCTGTCTGGCTTTTCTAACAGCTTCAATTACATGAAGCACTGGCTCCACTGATGAAAAAAACAAAAGAAAAAATTCATCAATCAAGTTCCAACTTTCTCGTGTTGCAGTTTTGACAGACTGGCTTTGCAGGGTGTAAGACTTGTCAGGGCCCATTTTTTCCAATTTCCATCACAAGCCAACGGACATGAAAAGTGTCAAAAACTTCAAGAAAACCCCTGGGGAGTCATTGTAGCAGAAAAAAAATCATTTTCATAATTAATTAATCATCAAATTCGCTTTGAGGCAACTAAAAGGAAAAAAAGAAAAAAAAAGAAAAGAAGCTATTATTCCCTGAATTTCAGTCGAACACTTTAAAAATATTCGGTTTGCATTGACACATGGTTAGCGTTTTAAAAAATGGACAATGACTCCATAGACATTACACGAAAGAATGTGTCATAACACTGAAAACCGTACAGTCGTAATATTTTCAGGGGAAATTATTGCCACGTGTTGAGAGTATTGATTATGTGTCTTGTTCTCTGATAACAGTGGGGATCGAAAAAAAATGAATGGAACTGATGTTGTGACAAGTGAACTGCTGAAGGGTGACTGAGGCTAGACTAAAAACAGCCAGACCGAGACTCTCTCAGCTGAATCCTTGTTAAAAGCCAGGCAGTGAGCAATCAGAAAAAAATACTCTTTAAGCTTGATGTATTCACTGCAATCAACAGCAGGGCACATTATTCCAAAAATGAGCAACATTTAAAAAGTGCACATGTATTTTCAGAGTGACTTCAGATGTGTTAAGTTCCCCTTCCTTATGCATGTGCAAGACAAACCTGGGGGCAGCATATTTTCAGGAGGTTGATTGTCTTCCCGCAGACGTACACATCGTTGGCCATGTGTCTCAAGAAGCTCGGCACGCAGTCCTCCACGTCCTTTGAGATCAGAGTGTAGCCTTGGACCCAGAAGTTTTTGTCTGTGCAAATTCAAAGATTCCAATCACACGTTGTCCGACAAGTTATTCCCCATTATTGGTCTGATAACAGAACATCGCTGTCATGAGCAAAACGTTATTGTTTTTTTTTTTAAGGCCACTCGCAGTGGGGCAAAATGCAGCCTTTTCCGGGTCTGAACCCGCTTTCTTATTAGTATGACTTACGGGGCATGGCAAAACTTGGGCCGCTTGAATTAACACTTGGAAATTGTTAGCGCTTAGCTCAGTGATCCTAAGCAAAAAGCATAAGAGAACGTGAATGCGCCGAGCTTCCAGAGCTCTTCACGGAGAGCCTGGGGCTTGCCAAGAAAGCTTTGCTGCTGATTGCTTCCTTGGCCGACGGAGTTCGAGGAGAACAATGACATTTGTGTGTCCTCCAAAAAATGAAAGAGCGGGAAGTGCGGAGGTTCGCTGCTGGAGTTGATGAGGTGTAGCCGATGAGCAAATGAAACTGTTAGCCAGACAAAGCGGAGGTGAAGGCTTGACCTTGAGTGGGATGTTGGATGACGAACAAAACTGGAAGAGGCTACAGTGATTTACAACACACAATATTTATGGGGCGCTGTCAAAATGAAAAAGTTTCAGCTTGTGTCACCATCAGAAACTTCATGATCATTTCTATTAAACCTGATAACTGCATCTATTCATTGTCCTGCTAAAAAAGTTTTGTTGTTTTTCTGAAAAAGGAGGAGCTAAAATATCAGACATCTGACAGTTTGGAGGTCTCGAATGTGAAGACGCTTGTTGCAGTTTAAAGACGTTTTAATTGTAAATCCAAGATAACCGTAAAATAAAATCTACTTTTGAAGGTTTTTTTTTTTTCCAATAACCACTGAGTCAAAAGAAATTAACTGAATAAAGAAATAGTATCTGTTGGTCTGTGGGGGTGGCGCTCTGACTGGAGATGGCTGTGGTTCCCTCAGCAGGGGCGGCTGATTCTGTTTCCCGCTGATTATCATCCAATAACATCCTTTATAGATACAAGGACAAACCCAACTAGGCAATAAAAGCTGAAATGAAATCCTTTTTTTCGCCCCTTTCTGTTCGACAATTTGTCTGGCATGCTTTTCATTTTAAGAACCGTCTGACTGAAAGCGTTTATGCGATGGCTGACGTGTATGTTTGCATCTGTGTGAATGTGTGAGGCGTGTCACCTCTGAAACCGAGGTAGTCCTGGTTGACCTGGATCATGAACTCTCCGTAGACGTCTCGGAACACGCCGCTGTACACCCAGTCGGAGACAAACCTGAGGGAGACGCAGTTAACGGTCAGGAGCTGGAAAACGGGGGGGGACGATGTGGTGGACGGTGACTGACCGGGTGTAGGGCTCGCAGCTGCTCTTCAGCAGCGACAGCAGGACGGGGTAGTTCTCGTTGCTGCAGTTGCTCTGCGCCTCGTTGTACAGGTAGGACAGCAGTTTAACGCCCTGAGGAGAGCCACACGGCACGGGGCCGACACCACATCTGGTAGGTTAAACACAGCCCTGACTGATTACATATTGCAGTTTGCGGATAAAAGAGCCCTCACCACGGGAAAGGTGGACTGGCCCGCGCCCAGAGGCCCGTCCACGCAGCACAGCTCCGACAGGTACCTGAGATTCAAAGACAGCGGAGAGATTTCGATCTTGGGATGTTTACATCAAGCTCCGCGCATTTGGCGTGAGCTCGGGGTTCAGATGTGAAACCAGCGTATGGAAGTGGCAGCGAGGACAAAAAGGCGAGGCCCCACCTGAGCTGGCGTCCCACTTTGCGGAAGAGGAAGCCGATGGTCATCAGGCTGAGAGAGGGCGGAGTGCTAAGAACACAAGCCCTGTAGTAATGGAGATACTTCCTCAGACCACCCGTGAATGCCTTTAACAGGGGGAAAAAAAAGAAAAAAACCTTTAGGTGCCATCAACAATGCAGATGTACAGCCACTGAAATAGTCGATCTGCACTTTATTTGTGCTTTTGAAGAAGGCTGCCGGCTCCCTGCCGGTCACCATGCTGCATTTCAGAGTTCCTGTCATTTTAGACCGTTTCGCTGTTTGTGTGAATAAATTGTTTATGTTCATTTGAGCTTGCTTGTCTCAGATTTTCCCACAAGGGGCGAGTTAATTACTCTGAACTGATGAACACAACACAGGGAACAACCGCGGCAGAGCCGAATACAAGTTGGAGGGGGGAGAAGAAAGAAAAAAAGGAAAATACTGTAATCCCAGTAGTATTAATTAATGATAATTATACAAACACACCTGGAAGACTAGGCCCTTCTTGTCAGCACTCTGCAGAGAGAAGCGGCTCAGCCTCAGGTAGTGGGTGCCGTACTGGGCCAGCTCCCCCAAGAGACGGGACACACTCTCTGGAGAGGCTCCTGACACACACACACCAGGCCTGACGTCGAACTGAACACTCTGAGGCAGAAAACAAAAATTTACCAAAGACAATGAGACATAATAAGACAATGTAAAGATGAATAAAATCCAATATAACAGGATGTCCTCATAACTCATCCAATATGAGACTTTGTCAAGCGAGGTGGAGAGTCCCCTCCAGCGGGACTCTCTGAAGCCACGGTTGGCGGAATTATTACATAATAAAGCATTACATGATCAAAACTTCTTGTCTTGCTATGAAAGTTTTATTAGGAGAAAATATAGTGTTTCTACACAGAACTCTTTGGGGGAAAACAGAAAAACAAACAGGCAATATTCAGCAATTTGTCCTAACCACCAGATTGAAAACAAGAAGCAGACAGAAAAGTTTTTAAAATGACAAAGAAAATTCACGCTCGCACCGTTAAGACCACGCTGGGTTTTAAGAAGGCTGTTAATCATACTATGCCCTAGTATTTTTAGAGACTTAGCAAGTCAGCTACAGGGAGAAGTTAAGTTCAGAGACCAGAGGAAAGCTGGGAATAAAGATGCTGTTTGAAAGCAGTCATCTGGAAGAAGACAAACTTAATAGTCATTAATTGACTACAAGAGTCTCCTATGGTTTAGTTCTTCGCATTTAAAAAGACAGCCATTTACTTCCCGAATGTTTAATCAGGATAATGACTTGTCACGTTTTGGCCCTTTTCTTTAAAAGTGTTTTTGCATAATGAGCTCTTTCAAATTCAACCGGGTTTTGTTTGCACTAATGAGCTAATTGCCCACTGATTCTTATCTCCCTTTCTCTGTGTAAGAGAGAAAATGATTACATTTAACAGCATTTTTGGACTAACTTTTTTTCATAATTAATTTAAATTGAAATCAACTTTATGAAGTTTTTCCCAAAGGAGGACTATAAATGCAATGGGCCTTTAGGTGTTTCTGAAATGAAGATGTCACAGACAGGAGTGGAAATGGTCATCAAAGAAAGCTAAATACAATGGTAGATCAAATAAAAACAACAGGGTTTTCACCTGGTTCAGAGGGAAAGTAGTGGATGCAACTCCGATCAGAGCATTCAGGAGGTCAAATACCAACTGGGTCTGTGAGTCCAGGGGCAGCGGGAGGACAGGAGAGGGTGTGCTGGTGTCAACTATCCTAATCTCCCCCTCCCACAACCGATAGAGCTGGTCAAAGGCCTCCCTGCCTCCCTCTGTCAGGTAGAAGGATTCTCTTTTTCCTGGTGGGCTGGTGGGAGCAACAGAGAGAAATCCAAAGTAGTGATCAAGATAAAAAGGGGGAAAATAAATGTAGGTCTTTTACAATTCTTGATCATTTACACATCAAGGCTCATCCCCTAACACCAAACATTCTCAAGATTTCAGTCATTCAAATATTTGTTTTGTTATTTTTCATTTTAAGCTGCTATCATTTGAAGATCTCTGAGTTTTGGCCTGTTGACCTGAAAGAATTGTCAAGAAACAGCAGCAGACACTAAAAACTATGTGATTAGCATTTTCCACCTGACATCACGCAGCATCTTCAGTTCATGAAAAACAAAGTCAGGAATCCCGAAAGCTACTTGTGGCTGGTTAAGTTTACATTTGAACTATCTATGTTTTGACAGAACAACGAGCGAATTGCCATATAAAAATTTCCGCTTTCTTATGATCCACATGACATGTCACCTACCAGCCCACAGATTCCCAGCAGCGCCGTCTACCAGGTTCAAACGTACGGAGAGCCTCCCACATATCAGTGTCTGGAATGGGGCTGGGCTCTGACTGGGAGTCCGGGGTCAGGTTTGAGGCTGACTGGAAACCCTCATCCTCAGACTGATCTAAACAGGGAGGAACCTGCACAAATAAATAGTCAACGCGTAAGCAATAAGATAATAAAGTTAGGTTCAAGCATTGTGCAAATGTGATCCCACTTACATTCTAAAAGCTAGCCAAAGCTTTGCTCTCTTACCCTGATTGCCAGCCCAGTGACATCAATATTGCTGGGGACGGGAGGCAGGTCCAGTCTTATGTCCATGTCCGAAGTGCGAGTGTGCTGCAGTGCTCCAAACAAAGTTAATCTGGTCTCCCTGCCAAACTTTTCGTCACCATCTGACTGAATTCTCAGAGCTAGGAGTCCTGTGCCCGGTGGAGCGTCCATCAACCTCTCTGTCCCCCACAGGCTTTCCAAAGTCCCCCATTCCTCTCTACATACCAGACCCCATGCCCTGGCCTCGAGCCTCTGGAGCTCCTCACATTGGTAACTCCAGGGTGGAGGCCTCCGCACTACGGGCCTCTCGTGTCTCATGTAGTCTCTGCTGAAAGACGTGGGGGGCGGTGGTGCCGAACCAGCTAAAAACACCAGGAGCTCGAGTACGGCGTCCACTTCACTCAAACCAGAGGAGGATGCACCTTCAGGCAGCCTCCCGAGCTGATCCTCCAATCTCTCCGCTTCCTCTCGGCACCCCGCCACCCGTAGGTCGAAACTCATCATCAGGACTTTGTTTCTGGGTGGGATATTGGCTGTGGCACTCTGTCCAGAGGCAGGCCCTTTGGGGCCATCTTGGAAGAGTTTCGACAGCAAGGCACCGTAGGCACGCTTCTTGAGAACTCGGTGGAAGCTTTCTCTGGAAACTCCCAGGGCTCGCCGCTTCCACGACACTCCAATCAGGCTGCAGGAACACAGGTCGCTGAGCAACCCAGTGATGCTGCCGTTGTCACAGCCGGACTTCTTGGGCTTGTTACCACTTGAATACATGGTAGCAGTGTAGCCTTAGGTGCTTTGATAAAAACAAGAAGACAAAAGGAAATCAGAATCTTGACAAAAGATGATACAATACTACAAAATCTCTCCCTGTGGAAAAGAAACAGGCAGAATGCCTTGTAAAAGTCCCGTTTGTGTTCTGAATCCTGGCATCCAGGTAGGATGCGTATCCATGGCAAATCAAAACTGATAGCCAGCCTGCAAAGTTTACAAGGTAGATGCCATTATAGCATTAAACAAAGACGCAGACTTATCTCTGGCACTGTTTGCAAAGCAGCAGTGTCACAAGATGCCATGAAAATTGTAGTATGTCAAAAATACAATACATGCATATCATCATAACAAGCGAGTTAAAATAAATCCTAATGCAACAGTATTTGAACTGAAGTTATTGGACACTCATTTTATTAATCTCTGTTAGCCAAAATAATGCCTTAATCCATGGAAAATTTATGTTTATATACCAACTGAGTCCTAAGAGACATGAACAGAAAATTGCATGTCTTAATATTCACTTGTCAAATACAATACAAAGCTAGCTTTTATACAAAATATGTAAAGCAAATTTTAAACAAAAAATGTTTTGGTCTAATTTCTTTATTAGTTGATTCTGGGTGTTGTCTTTTGTTTTATTGTGTGTATTGTTATCTGGCATTTGGCAACTAAGCGAAGTAACAGTGTATTTTACGAAGACACCCTGATAAACCAAACCATTTTAGCATGGGAAACACACCCCAACCCACAAACAAATAGGTCGCTTTTAAAAGAAGGTTGTCACTTCTTCTTATGTAATGCTAGCTTTGTCAATTAAGGAAATAAACGCAGATAACAACTAATGGTAACTGGCTATCAGTTAGCAACCTCAGCGACAATTCACATTACATAAATAAATATTTAGTCGCATTCATTCCTTGAAAATATGCTGAAAATATGCTTCTTGATATTGTCTACGTATGTGATATAATGTGTTATTTGTTCATTCACCTCAGTATAAACTTTGCATCCATTCCAAGCGATTCCTTCACAAACTTGCTAACGTTTGTTGTTAGCAATCGGCTCCTGGGTTGATTTTCTTTGTAACATTGTCAAAACGCATGTACCGGTAAGTTAATAATATAAGTATTTCCAACGGTGTCATTACCGTTAATTGACATTTTATTGCTGTCTTGTTGCAGCATACAGCTTATCAATATGCAGTGTTGTTATACTAACTGAGCTAACAAGTGTAAGCTAGCTGCTTCTTTCATATCCCTTCGTTCTCCGCGGGCTACGACAAAATCGTCAACTTACCTCCTTTGATATGATTGGGTAAACGGCTAAAAAGTCTCTAACGATTGGTTTACATTGTCGTACTCGCCACAATGATTGGTCTCTTTTTTTGTCAATCACAGATTGAGAAACGTCATTGGCCAAAGTGATTTGTTGCATTCTAGAGACATGGGATATCTTCTCTTCACTTTTTTGCCTCCTTTCTTAGTAAGAATGAATTGAGAACATATTATGCCTCTAACTGATAAATAATTGATTTGCAGCCACATTAGAAAAAGCAATAGACTTTTGAATTGATAGATTATAGTCTCGCAATGAAAGAGGAGGATACACAAATGTTTGCGTTCGATGACAACTTATTCTCTGGTCATGGAATGCTACATAAGGGATTTGAGAAACAAAATAATTAGTCAGACTACACATGTTGATGTGACTACATGTTTATTAGATAATTGTTATAAGTACATGCTGACCAGACACCCTTTTTGTGTGTGTGTGTGCGTGTCATCTGACTAGAACAGACACATTGAACATGGTCTGTATGCAGGTATGTGGCCTGTGCTTTAAAGATTATAAAATTCAGACTCAGAATCAGAAATACTTTAATAAGAGGGAAATTATTTTCGTTACACACTCCACACTTTTCTTCCTCAGGAAAAGAGTCGACTTGGCCCTTTTTGTAGACCACTTTGGTGTTTTCTAGTCTAGTCCATCTTATTATTAAAGTATTTAAGGTAATTATACTCCACCACGGTGTTTACAGGGACCCCCTGGATGGAAACAGGGGTCACGGGTGTTTTTGCCCTCCTCAGATCTACTATTAGTTCCTTAGTCTTTGTCACATTGAGCTGCAGATGGTTCGGCTCAAACCAAGGGACAAAGTTGCCCACCACTGTCCCATATTCACTCTCATCACCCTTTTCATTGAAGCCAACTATTGCTGAGTCATCAGAAAACTTCTGAAGATGGCGGGACTCAGTGCAATAGTTGAAGTCTGAGGTGAAGAGGGTGAAGAGGAAGGGAGAGAGGACAGTCCCCTTTTCTTATGTAGTGCAGCCATTACCATGGACCGAATTTGGAGAAAACACGTTTCTAAATGTAGACATCTGAAAAGCTTGTTTTTCTCCTTGAATTTACTTTGGGTTTCTTTATGGTCGTTTTGAATCACCAAATGATCATTTAATCTCCATAATGCAGGGAGTTTTAGTCTGTTGCATTTTTGTGAAGTATTTTATATGTATTTTTTATAGCTTTATGTGCCCCACTGCAGTCATTTCCCACGCGTTATGTTGTCTGTTGTGTACATTTGCTTATCATTTGACTCAATTTAAATTATATAATTGTACCTTTGGGGTCGCCCTCTTTAGTTTTTTGTATTCTTTCAAAAGCTGATTTTGTGCGCTTTTATAAACTGTATGTTTCCATTGTGGGCAACTAGTATTATTTTCCAGCGTAATATCATTTTGTTTATATATGTGATCATCTTGTACCTTCTTTTTCCAACTGCTAATGGTTGTTTAAAATGTCAGAACTCATCAAGAAGAATATTTTCAAGAATAAGCTTAAAACAGCACTACTGACCCTATGGGGCATGGGGGCCTTTTTTCCCTAATTTAAACTCATTCAGTAACTGCTGCATTAATTCAAAAGAAGACTGAGACTCAGACAGTCTCAGGCTATAGGCTTTTAGCAATTATGCAATGAGACTCAGTAAATGAGTCAGAGCAGTGCTGGATCTTTTTTTTCCTGAGTGAATATAAGTTAAATAGAAAGACGGATAAAGTAAATGCGTATTTATTTTGATAAATGACAAACACAATCTATATCACAAAAATGTAATTTTTATAAAAGGAGAGAGTGGATTAAAACTGGATGTTTTCTAAAATCGTGCTTTAAATTGGCTGCTCTAGCTGTTGGCATTTTTGTGCGTAACTCAAACCCTTCAGGCATTTCTTGATTTAGCTCCAAGCATAGCATTCTAAAATTAATCTATATCTAAGAAACAAGATGCCTTAAAATGATATCTTGGATAACTAACAGAGTGTAATGCTCGTGGAATCCCTTTCTGTGCTTTTGAATTATTCATCAGAACTACTCAAAATGATACCACACAGTCACTGTTTAGTGTTTCACCAGGTTTTCCTCCTCCTCGTTCTCCTCCCATTAGGAAGTCAAATCTCATTATGTTTGATACATGGAGGTGAAATGCAACCTGGTGGGAAAAACGGTGCCTGAGAGGCTGGCTCCTTTGTGAGAGGAAGTATCCCAGGCAGGAGAACAGAAGCAGCCAGCATGCAGATTTCAACCCATTTCCTTGTATGGTTCCCTGCACAAATGCTCTTAACGTAATCATTCTGAGTGTGTGGTATCATTGATTTCGAGGCAGTGAAAACTAGCTTATTTTTCAATCTTTATAAGAGCAAGTAATGTTGACTCCCAAAATGATGTAAACTGCATGTCCTAATAGAAATCTAAAGTACTGCATCGCCTTTGATTTACAACAAGTGATCAGGGATAATGTACTAGCTTCAGTGCTAGTGATAATGAAGTATATTCAGCAGCCCTTGAAGTTACTCTATCTGTTGCTGCATCAGTGATCTGCCCGGTTAGAAAATGGTCAGAGTAGGCCTCTGGTCTGTCTTTGATATATCCACCCCTGCATTGGGGTGTGTTAGGCAGTCAGAAGAGGCAATTTCTGCCTTTCATCTCTCGTTTTCCAATTTCATTCTTAGCTGTCAGTACTTAATTAATGTTTCCAGAGCAATTTTTTCAACCTTCACAGCCGATGACAGAGATGCTCTGCTGCTATTTTATATTATCAACTCATTTCATGAAGCCAGGCTCTCTAGTTTGTATTCCAGGCTGTGTGACAGTAGCCTGATGTGGCATTTGTGGGGAAACGCACCAGCCATGACAGGGTGTATCGCCTATAAAGACTGATGCTATCAACAAAGTCGTTTAGGGTCACAATATGCAAAATTGTTTGCGATAAGGAAGGAATCTTAGTGAAGTTCCAGCACTATGTTTCCCTCTTCATAAAAAGACTGCCTGGTTTTAATTCTAAAAAATAAAAATAAAAATAAATGCTCTCCCCTGAGCATACGCTTTTCAGTGTAAGGTCATGTTATGAAGTGTGTAAATTCAAAGTCCAAAAACCTCAACAGCACTTACAGCTTACTTCAACGTGAAAATCAGCTGCCTAAGGCCAGTCTATCACCCAAGGTGAGTGTTACCTCTCATGAATAAATCATGAGCGTAAAGGCGAAGCTAATCAATACTCTTCAAGCGAAAGAAACAAAGCAAATATGCAGGGTATATATGTCTCTGAGTTTATTCACCAAGGAGTGTATGATGAAACCTGTGGGTAACTGCTCCGACCACACACACGATTTCAGTAAAATTATGTTCATCCAGTACAACCAGATCAGGTACAAGATTGCGAATCTTCTGAGCTGCCTTGGATGGGGAGGAGAGCGTTGGCTTCCACTGGTGGTCCTGTACTCTAAATGGAGTTTCCCAGTTTATTTCGTCATTACAGCAAATTCACAAGTTTCAAAATGGGGAAGGAAAAAAAAAAGAAAAGTCTCGACATCTGCACGAACAATTTTTTTTTTCTCTCTTTTGTTGTTTTGTCCCAGGACTCAATGCATAGGAGTATACAATTAGAATACAGTATTTCAACAGGTTTTACAAAGATTTATATGATATAGGAAACGAGAAATAAAAATAATAACTGCACAGCAGTAAGAAAGGTCATTTGTCGAGTATAGATAGTCATTTATCGTACACACTGTGAAATAGCTTAGAAACACAGGGCAAAAAATGAACACCATTGGACAATTTTGCGCTATATTCAATCTACATATGGATACCCTTTTGTCTTAAGACTAATTTATGAATGCCAGACATTTTCAAGGGAAACCCAGATAACATTGGCCACTGTTTTACATTTATTCATTTTGGCTATATGCCTTAGCCACCAAAATCCTACAAAGCACACACCAAAGACACCCAAAGGAAATGCACACGTCAATACTGCAACCATAAAAGAAATCATACTGAAATGTCTTCAGCCTATTGGCACGCAAATGGCTGCAACAGGGCATCTAGCATTTTAGACAGCACACATATGATCACAAGTCCAAATACATTGCTGTGTCTATAGCACTATTGTCATCAGAATCACCTAGGTTACCGAGAGGATAATTTAGAAACGATATATATATGTATATTTATATATATATATGTATCATCCTATTCAATAAGGCACATTTTTGGTTAAAGAAAGGCTCGGAAAAAAGCTTCTTGCATCAACTCTGTCAGTGAGAAAAGAGTCAGCAGTAAACAACAGCGGTGACAAGGATGGAGTCTGCAGTCGGCATGCAATTAAGATCAAAAGCCTCCCCTGCTGATTCCATCATACTGAGTGCCACTCTGCTCTGCACTGAGTGGGCAGTGCCAAGTGCTGTTGGTCAGGATGCCGGAGTGCCATGCTGAGATCGCAGGCAGGCAGGCAGGCAGGCTCGAGGTCTGTGCAAACCTCCCTCTAGCCAAGGCAGGAATCGTTAACATTCTGGGGTCTCTGGAGCTCGTCATGCTCTGTCAACTACACACGTCCATGATCAGATACAAAGAGGACAATTAAATTATCTGTCAACAGCGAGGCCTACAATTTAGGGATGTGGTTTAATGGTCCAAGAAACATAAAAAACCCCTCACTCCCGTACTGTCCACACTGACACCGACATATCAATAATATTCCAATTACCATGACAATTATGTACACTTTTGATCCAACCTTCCTAACGGCATACAAACTCCAATCACCGTTCAGAACGTGCCACTGCAGTACCTACAGCGTCTCTGGCAGATTATCAACAATTATCAGCAACAGGCTATTTCATAGCTTGAGAGGCAGAATGCTTGATAATTATTTGGAAAATTACACGATCATAAAGAAAAGAATTGCACAAAAAAAGTCAATGCATGAATCAGTTTTGGAGAATTTTGTAACATATTGCTGAATTGCTACAATAATGCAAGTGTTGATTGTGGCTCATGGCATACTGACATTATTGCAGGACCAATATGAGTGACGTGGCTCTGCAGCAGAGTAAAATTGCTTCTTGCTCACACTTATAAAAAGCAAACGTTTAATAGCAAATTAAGAAAAAAAAAAAAAAAATTCCAAAAACAAAAAAATCTGTCATTAACTGAAATGTCTTAAAAAAGATCTCTGAAAAGTCCTTCTGTGCTTTAGTTAAGGTGGAATGTTTCATGGCACTGTACAATAAAGGGAGACAGACTGTGCTATTATGAACTTTCACAAGCACAAGTGGCAATTCAGCCTGAAGCAAATCTGCATTAAAAAGCAAATCATTCAACTCAAATGCTCCTGAAACCACTGGTGACCTGTCAATCATGTGAGCCTGAACATTTCATAGATTAACCAGCATCCTTGTGAGGACCCTTTGGTCTCTGTCGTAAAGCTCAGTGAGAGTGCAGGCTCCAGTGTGTTACTGTTCGTGGGGAGGGGGGGGGGGGGGGTTTAAAATGACAGAAAGCAGGCGTCCTTTCGTCCCTCACGCCTGTAGGCATCCTGTGTGTGCACGCACATTCCCACGTAGTCGCACACTCACGATCCATGTGAACACACACTCACATTCAGTAACACACACACCCCTGTTCACATGTTGCACTTCACACAGACATCTACGCACACACACACACACAGGCTAATAAAAACACTGTCCCCACCACAAGGTGATCCATTTAAAAAGATGTGTTTTTTTTTTTTTCCTTATAAAGCTTTCCGCATAAAGACTGCACAGTAAAAAAAATATATAATACAACTCTTAAAACCTTTTCAACACAGAGAGAAATTCAACATTTGATTATCTCTTATGCCAGTGCTCCACGGAGGGGCTTAATTCTCAGAGAGGTCTCTTGCACTGCATTGTGGGAGCAATGTTCAGTGAAGCATGAGTGACCGCTTAGACCTTTAAGGTTTGGCAAGTGAGCTTTAAGGCGTACCTATGACAGTGTAACCCATCATTTTTCTTCCCCTCTTTTTGCTCTCTATGTGCCTTTAATTAGTCTCTTTTACTTCACGAAACAGAAAAATTGCTCCAGGCAAGTTGTGCAAAAACACACAGCCAAATGAGCGCTCTCAAACATTTTCTTATTTCCATTTCTATGCTCCGAAAAAAAGAAGAAATAAGCCCCTGTAGTCACTGGCGATATATATCCCTCCTTTCCCCCTCTCCCTCCCTGTAGCGGGTTAGAGATCCGTCACTTTGTTTTCCAGGGCAGCTGCGATCTGCTGGAGCCGCAGGGTCAGCTGTTTACTCTGTGCAGCTGGGTCCTCGTCCAGGGATGCGATGATCTGAAAGAGAGACCGAAGGACGGGGATAGAAGGTGATGGACAGAGGAGTTGGAAATCACAAGCCACGAGGAGAAGCGAGCGGAAGAATTGTGTGTGAAGGGCGGCAGAAGGGTAGCGTTTGAGAAGCAAAAAAAAAAAGAAAAACAGAAAGAAAAGAAAAGGGGGGATGGACGCAGGTACAGGACAAAGAGGGAGAAAAAGGGAGAAAAAGGGTGAAGAGTGGGAGGAGAGGACAGCGTTATTTGACATAAACAGTCACGTCATGGAAGCAGTTATTATTTGAGAGCCACACTTAGGGGAGAAAGACAGCCCCATTTGTTTATCCAACTTGTTCATTAGGTTTTGTTTACCCCCGTTTTTCATGACCTCAAGTGGAAATGCACAATGGACTCTTAAAAATCAATTCCCAGAGCAATTTTCCAATTCACATCCCACAGAAATGCTTTCAATTAAAATTTCACACAATCTCTTTTCTGGCATATCAAGAGTGAAGGGGAAAAAAAAGGCAAATACACTGGGCAGCAGTGCATACAGTGGAATAGCCTCCTTTGGGTGTGATAGGAGAGAGAATAGCTTCTTACCCCATCATAGTATTTGCTGGCGTACTGGTAAAGCTGATGGAGAGCCACTTGTGTGTTCAGTTTGTCTGTGTGAGACTGCAGGGGGATAAATGAGCATTTAAAAGGTTAAAGACACAGCTAAATTAAGTCACACAACTGTACACAAAGGAGTGAAATATGGTTTGTGCAGCAAAAATCAAGACTGCTCCACAAATAAGAAGGGAAATAAAAAGGAATTGAAAAACATCTTATGAAACATCTATGGTAAAACTATTCAACCGACCACCAGCTATTTAAGTTTGTTGAACCCTGGGCTGTTAGTTAGAACAATCAAGGAGGAATTCGGGCAAGGGATGAGCTGAGCTAACACTTAGACAGAAAAGCATATTTTGCAACGTAAAACACCTCATACCCCAATCATTTCAGAGGAAAAACTTTGTGCACTGTGTATTTTAAACGAGTAGTGGCTGTGATCTTTAATAAAATACACTATACACAAAAATGCTTCCCAGTTGACTTATTTTAGATGAGAACATTTGTCAACTACTTAATATCAAGATAGTAACGCCGTATAAGTACCTTATAAAACAACATATATAAAATAACATAAAATCCAAGCCTCTAATCTGTGACATCCACACAAATACGTCTACTGTTATTTCCTCCACCTCCCGCTTTTTGTTTTATTACCTGCTGTCAGAATAAATGCAAGTGCTCGAAGCTCAAATATGTTACTCTAATGAAATCTTAAGTGCACCGGTATCACCACATCAACTTGGGCAGCAATTGAAAGGATCTTAATGTTCAAAGAAAGGCGGACTGGAAAAGTGAAAAGACAGCTGTGTGTCTCTCACCCGTGACACCTCTGCCAAATGAGTGTTCATGTCCTGGTCGCTGACGGGTACCATCTGCCTGATGCCCTTGTAGTAGCTGTGCACACAGACACACACGTACAGAGGAGGGAAAAGGCGGTTACCGCTCCATTATTTTGCTGCTATTGAAAAATTTTACAAATCTGACGGGTTCAAAACTAAAAAAGGGAACATATGAGATGTAATTTGTCGAAAGTACGTACTCATCCACCATCTTTTTATATGAAGAGATCTCCTTTGCATAGAGTAGTTTGTTGCTCGGAGAGTCCTAGGGACAAAAACAAAAGAAAACGTAAATACGTTTCAAAGATGAAAATAAATGAAAACCCTCAGACAATCTGACCTTTGGCATTCCTCTTTTCTCTGCAATTTGGTTCTCATGTAATCCACTTTATTCTCATCTGTTCACCCATCTTCCCCAAAGCACTTTGACCTCATGCCTCCGCCCTTTTTTCTCCTCCTCCCTTCATTAACTTCCACTCACCCGGCTGAGTTTGTGCTCGCTCTTGGTGCAGGCATCCATGAAGGTCTGGGCGATGACGGACAGCGAGGCGTCCACCACTTCGGACACGTGGACATCGAAGATGAAGTGGGGGTTCTTGAGGATGTTCACCCAGAAACGCAGGGGCAGGCTGCACGGGTTAATGGGGCAACAAATCACAGTTATTATCATCATTACCAGATCGGAATGCAGGCAAATCTCATCAGCGACATCACATCAGTGAATATATTTTAGGTTTGAGAGGCATTTCATGTGAAAGAGCACTTGCCTGAGGTGCAATTTAGAGCTGTACAAGGTAATAGCTGGAGACACGGAGAAAGCTTTTCTTGTAGGTGTAAGCTTATTCAGAACAATACCCCTGACTGCCAGTTTATATTAGTCTTTCGTATGATGCTGACCTCTGTGAGAGTTTGTGCTGTTCAAAGCAAATGAAAAAGAAAAAAAATGACCTCGGAAGTTTGCTCTCAGTGCGAGGCGACAAGCAATGATCCTTGTCTGCCCTAACGAACAGAGATTAGAAATGGTAAAGCAACTGAAAAAATGTGACCTTTGAAGTTCCTCGGCAGCTTTACAATGTAAAGAACAGACTACACAATAATACGCCCGAGTGCTCCTGCTAATTTCCCTCCTGAACATTAAAACACAAGCCCCACACTCTTCTTTTCCCACCACATGCCCGCCTGTGAATTCCTAACACCGCCTAAAACGAGGCAGTTTCCAAAAACTCTGCTCCCCGATCAGCGTGAATGTCCCACCATCTGAGACAGGAAACACACCGAGTGTAGAATTCATACCGGTTCGGTAATATCTCCCGGGAAGGTTGCAGTGAGAATACAATAGAAGCATAAAAATAGCAATGTTGCTATAATCACAAAATTAATTTAGCTTGGGACATAATTACCATGTTTGTTTGTTGTTATGCTTCATACACACATTCATATTTAATACATGTCCCTCAGTTGATTTGATAAACAGAACGGCTGGATGCAGAATGTGGTGTGGAGTGTAATAAGTAATTAAATCGCTCATCTCCTGTCCTTGTGTGGGTGCTCTCTTGCCAGCCTCGCGTCAATCTCTGGCATCTACATGCAACGCGTCGTCTTGTATGCTTGAGCCTCAGTTGACGTGACACTAATTTATGCACTTAAATGCCACACGGGAGCGTGGGGATTTCAAATGCAAACTAAGTAAGCCGAAACAGTGCATTTGTATTCAGCCGTTTCTAGGATATTTAAGTTTTATTGTTTGGGTAGTGGCTGTATCACAGCACTGGTGCTGTTGTTCAGGTTTGGATAATCAAGTGCACGTGGGTGTACATGTCATGAAAAAAGTTAGAAGTGCAAGTGTGGGGTAATGGTAGTCTGTCAACTTGAGAAAAATTCAGTCGATAATATTCTGCTCTCTGCTGTATCACACATATATATATATATATACACACACACATTCTGGCCCAAAAAGATGAGAAATGTCAAGTATTTCAAAAACTTTCAAAACAGCTCAAAACTTCATGTACTAATTGAAAAAAATCTCAACATACACATGCAACATTTCTAGAAAAGGGGCATTTACAATCTTACACTCATATAAAAGACAAAGAAAGCAATTACTATAATGTGTGGACCGATATAAATCTTTATCTTTTCTTGGCTTCCCTGTCAGATTTGCACTTTCACTTAAACAAATATCATAAATGAAACAGTGTCCGTGATAAGTCACAACCCTCTTTAATTTCTAAGATTTATTTTGAGAGTAAAATGAAAAATAAGATTACAACCTGAACTCAGTGCTGTTAAAACCATATCTCCATTGATCAGTTATAGTTCGAAGATACTAGGAGTGTGCAGTAAAAAAACTTTAATAAAAGAGTTTTTTGTGTCACTTTCCATCTTCTTTTGCTCTATGTGCAGATTCTGTAGAGACGGAAACATTTCCGATGCATTTTGGCTTCCGTTTAAAGTCGTCTGATAGTTTAGGTATGTTTTTTCAGATTTGCATAAGCTTCATTAATCCATTTTCTAAACCCTCTTATTCCTAGTGGGGTCACAGTGGGGTTTGAGCTTATTTCAGCAGCCTTCGGAGTGAGAGATGGGGGTACACCTTGGAGAGGTCGCCAATGCATGACAGGGCCACACAGAGACAAATGAGACAACCGTACACGCTCACTCCTACGGTCAATTTAGAGTGACCAATTAACCTAGCATGCATGTTTGTGGTCCGTGGGAGGAGGCTTCAGCTGTATGCAAATCTAAAGACCTGAAGACAACATGGAAGGTTTTGCTAATATAGTTTCTCAAAAACAAACAGCCAAAATCTGACAAAGTTTGAGCTTTTTATTACTTGTTTTGAATCAACTCTCCCTTTTTTTTTTTAAATGCATAGCAAGTGAAAGTGGAAAGTTGGAAGTGTCAGCCCTCCTATCTGTCATTCAGATATCCGCTGGCAACACCAGAATAGCTGAATCATTAGCCGTGCCTCCCAGATGCCAAGTTATTATTCTGCCGCCAACAAGTTCCCACACTGCTTATACATACCACCGCCGAGGCTACAAATATAAATATGTCTAGTTTGCCTATGACAGTGTGTGCAGTCCTCACGTCCTCTTACCTATTAGTCTTCCATATATGGATGGTCTCCTCATCCACATTGTTGTGTTTCAGTGCCTGCTCATCCAGGAAGTCAAAGAAATATTTGACAGCTGGTGGCACCACCGCCCCGGAGCACAGTACGCCGCGGAAGAAGTCATCCACAAATTGCTGCAATGTTCCCTGAAAGGACACACAAGTAATGAGAGACATGGCAGCAAGCAAGCAGACAGGAATATCAAAGCACCGAGACAAAGACATCTCGCACACGGCACATGATATTCAGCTTAAACAAGGATTTCTTTTCCTTATTTCTAGTCTTTCTAAATGTGGGCACTTTATTAATCATGCAAGGGTGTAAAATAAAGGCATAACTAATATCTGACTGCATATATATATGTGTTTCTGATCTACCTTGACAGAAAGGAGCCTGGTGAGATAGATCTCTGTAATGGCTTTGGTCATCGACTTGTCCTTTATGCTCCCTCGTTTATATTTGATTTCATCCAGCTCGTCTGCCGGCCTCACCAAGTGAAAAACTTTATCGTCTTCCAACAGAGCATTTCCTATTTAGAGCAACAACAACAAAAACAACACAACATTTTCATTCATGCAGATTCTGAAGAGAAACATTCAAAATGCTGAAAAGATGGGAGGGTGTTTGTCAACTGTATTTGAATGCGAGGAAGAGGAGCTAAATAATCAACTCATCTGAAATGTATATGAAGAGGATCAGAATAAAAAGGCAGAAAATCAGAGCTTATCTCAAAGTGCGCAATACACAGAACAACATACATTAGCATGTTTAATGAGAGTGGGGATATTGTAAAAAGCTCTAAGGAAACAACACAAAGGCACGCGTTATTTTCTTGAGCACACGAGCGGTTTGTGCTCTTGTGGGTTTAACGTGTGTATTCATGCGTAGGCGCTGTGTGTGTGTGCGCATCGACACGTACGCTCTTCGTGGTTCTCCTGGTTCTGGTCATAGTTGTGTTGCGTGTGTAGCACCCGGGACAAAACTAATGTGGCGTTGTCTCTCACCTGCAATGAACAGAAATCTCTTATTAGCCAACACACACACACACACACAACAAAAACTGCTTCATTCCCTATCGTTGAGCGTTACAAGTACAGTGAATGCAGTTAACAGTGAGCTAATTACTAATCCATAAATCTGAACACAGAGACTGGGAGTAATTGCAGACCATTGTCTTTGGCATCACCTGATTATTGACCTCACAAATACTGTGATTAGCACTACTCTGACAAAGCCAATGAATCTATGGCAACAGGGCTGTTCTCTAAGTCTAACTGTGAGGTATCAGTAGGCTGGATCTAAGGGAAGTCTACCAAAGAGGTGTATTTAAGTGGCCAAATAGCCGGAGCAGCAGGGGGTATCACTGAATGACCTTTATTTTCTCAGGATCAATAATGTGCCTTGAAGATTTAATGGCATACTGTTACCGCCGAGAACTCAGCTCAAACTAAGACGAGGCAGTTCTGAGTGGCTGACAGGGGGGGGGGGGGGGGTCTTTTAGATGTTCAGAAAATCTGATTAAAAGGCAAACAGAGAAAAAGAAAGGTTGCGTTCTGTTTTTCCAATTGCACGTTCGTACAGTAGGCATATGAACACGTAGTTGCCAACCAAAACAAACCCATAAAATCAGCCCTATGCTAATCAATAATTAATCTATAGTAAAAATGTAGAAAATACTTTTAATGGCTGCTTCACAGAAGGTGCTGTATATGTCTTTGTTGTATACCACACACTCTCATAACAGGATGCAGTCACAGGAGATTATGAATAATAATAACAAGAATATAAATTGTATATTATAGTCTCAGCAGAATCCAGTTAGGAGTTTAAAAAAAGAGGGATAGCTAAGTGCATTTGTCATAAATCATTTTTTCCTTATATGAAAAGAAAATGTAATTGCATTTCGACCATGTATTTTCAACCTCAATGAGAATAGGTAACTACAGGATAATAAAATGTACAGTGACACAGCCATAGTGTTGTGTTTCTCTGTTTTAATGTTCTATTTTAAACTACATTACAATTACTAAATCTTTGACAGTGAAGAACCAAAGAAATATTTTCCCTTTCACACTTCCTTCTCACTTGTGCCTATTTAGCAAACGAGAAATGTAAGCTTCTGTTGCACTTTGGAAAAAAATGAAAATCCAACAATCATGGATACTGAGCTTGCAATACGCCCGGAGCCTTTAAAAGTTGTAAACTACTGAAAATAACCTTTTTACTTGACACGATTTTACAAGCTCAAAATGTGGAGCAGCAGAGATCATGTGTACAACGCTGATGCTAGCAGCTCGGGTTCTGACTCCAGATGGTGTGAGAACAACCAGGTCCATTATCTTTACACACGCACAAATATTTATTCGCCACCTTTCATCCCCATGAAAAATCCCTGCGTACTTTGAGTAATTCTTGTCGGAATCTGTTTCACCATGGAAATACGTTTTTCCCGTACTCACATTGTAATGTGCCAGGGTGTTGATCCGCTTCCACCTGCCTTCCTTCTGGGAGGTCAAGTCCAGATCTGACAAAATCTGCCCAGTAGAGCCAGGACGCCACTCTGTGGTTGAGATACGAAGAGAACGTAAGGTTTTAGGTAAACGTACCTAAATGTACCCTATGTACCTGTTACCGTCCTTGGGTTTAAAGACACACTTCAGTTGATTGTGGGTGAAGGAGTGAGCTGTCAGTATATTATAAATAATCTAAGCTGAACTGAAAACTTGCACTGGAACAATTCTGCATCACAGTAGAGTTCAACCCAAAGCCATCAGTGACATATGTATGATTCAAGCATATCTGACTATAAAGGGGTTATCTTTCTCATTCATCACAAAAAAAAGATGGATGTGCTCCGTATTATATGTGTAAAGAAATTAAATCTACAGCATGATAGGAACAGAAAAGAGCCTTGATCTTAGAACATATCTAAGATACATTTCTGGCTTTCATGTCAGGCCCCAAGGTTTCCAATGACAGCAGAAGAAAAAAAAAAGTAGAGAAATTAAGTATTTCTCCTTGCTGCTGACAATGAATAACTTCTTGACCCTAAAAAGGGTTTTAAATCTTTCATTGGGAAACATATGTGTTATAGAATGATTACATCAATTAAATTAAACTAAAATTACACAAGTAAGCCATCACTCTTTGAGATGAAAAAAATCTAAAACTCAACATGAAACCATTTCTAATTTAACTTAATTAATTTGTTTCAGGACTGAGAAATCATTTCCATAACCCGCCGATTCATTATCGTATCAGACGTGCCCCTCTTACTCACCCAGAGTGACGCTGTCGACTTTGGGCCTCTGAGAGTACGGCAGGTTCCTGTACACTTGCTCGATGATCTTCTCCTTCACTTGTGAGATGGTGTCACAGTTGAGCACCTTGACCGGCGTCACGTCCGGACCCTCGCCTTGAACCAGCACCTGCAGCGTCTGGCGGAAACCACACGCGGCGTGGGGCACATTAGCAGCATGTGGTGACAGCACGCGCCAGGCCCGACCTATGCAAACAACTCCAACACGGCCATTGAACCCGGCTCGCCGCCCACACACACACACACAGTGAGTTTCCATACTGTTGTTATGGCAACTGGGACTTCTGAGAGCGCACACAAATACGCTGTAGTGACACCTGACATGACTCCTGCCACCTTGGCCAGCTAATGACCAGGGATCAGCAGGAGAAAAAGTGACCCACCTCAACCCCCACACTTAGTTAGTTAGCTCTGTTCCATGTCGCTGACCACTCAACAGACCCAAATCGGGGGACAAGCAAACTGACCACAGCGGCCACCACGTAAGCTCATCTGCATTTGGAAGGAGCGTGAAGTGGACACGGTAAATTAAAGCCAGCCGCATCCGTCAGGATGCTAAGCTTGGGGAGTTTTTGTTTTTTGTCACCCCCCCGCCCCCAACCTCTATGTTTTATTCAATCACAAAAGGCGATCCATCACCGCAGAAGACATGTAATTCACCCTAATTTGATAATTGTCCTCGACAAGGCCATTACCCATGGGTCTTTTTTGTTTATGGGGACTTTAACAGAAAACAGCTGTGTTTAGATTAGCCTCTATTATTGAGACAATATCAGAATGAGTCGCCCGGGCACCCCGTCCCCACCCCCACCCCCGACCCATGAAAGCTGCCTAAATAGATTCGGAGGATGGGCAGGTGGCAAGGTTGATGAGAGGTTGTGGAAGCAGCTTGTCGTCTAGACTCGTCCCGACTTGTAGTACGTATACCATTTTCCCCGAGCAGTTTTCACACCGAGAACACTGTCACCAAAAATGGATGTCACACAAAAGCAGGCACGCGGCTTTTTTTCTTTCTTTCATCATGTGGTTACCATGGCAACATCACAGCGCATATGCATGTTTGTTTTCGCCCATCGTGCACAAAACCCAATGCAATCAGGAAGCCGAGTGTGTGTGTACTTTTAGTGTTTTTGAATGTATTCGTCTATGCGCGTGCACGGGGTCAGGGGTGTGTGCGTTGCCGTGTGCGTTGCCGTGTGCCTTTGTCCAGCTCACCAGGACAGAGTACTCCACGTCGTCGCCCAACAAGCCCGTGTCGTTGAGTGTGTACTTGGCTTTCTTCACTCGGGCGTCCACGGGGCCTTTTTCGATCTGGTGCTTGATGGCTCGGAACAGTTTGTACAAGGGCTCGCCCGCAGAGTCCTAGAACACAAACACAGGACACGAGAAGAGGTTCAAAAGTTGCCTCGGCTTTTGGCAGGAAGCTAACGGTTGGTGTGATTACCAGACGAAAAAGGAAGTAAAGCTCACAATGCCAACACAAGCACTAAAAAGGACCAGAAAAATGCAAACATCCCTTCTTAGATGCTGTTCCATCACATCTCAGTTTTTTTTTTTTTGTAACACAATATGTTTTGTTTCTAAATTTATCATGCGTAAGCATATTTTTTCCATTTACCAAAAAAATTCCCTTGAAAATGGCTATAGTTAAACCAATGCCACAGTCCAATGACAAGGTGAAGCGATATATCAACACCACAGTGTCCTTCATTGCTTTGTTGTTGTTGTGTCGCATACAAATGATGTCATGGGACTAATTGGGTGAATTGGTGTTTGGACTTGACTTGTAATGGACAAGGACCTGCACAAAATTGAGGGGAGGTAATGGAGAGGTAAAGAGGCATAAAATACTAGTGGAAAAGGGCCATTTTGTCTGTTTATTTTATTTTTCTTAACTGTTTCACATCACACTACACAGCCAGGGGGTCCACCTCTTCCCTGTTGGCTGACTTATTACTGTCCCTGCTCAGGAAATCACCGTAGTGTCATTTGCAAACTTCACACTGGTTTCAGAATAAGACCAATAATCGTCAGATATTAAATTTGGAAAAACATTTCTAAATGTTCAACTTGCACGCTTTGCCTTCTTGATATGATCTCGGTCTCACTTCAGGCTAGCCCTGGCTCTAATGTAGACTCATGCACCTTCCGGTCTGAAAGGTCCTTAGCGGGAAGTGGACATCTAGGGTTTGCTCTGGTTTTTACTGCTTGTTAAGCTAAATAATTGCACTTGACAACACCATATGGACAAGGCTAATAACTTGATTTACTCTCAAAAGGCCTGTACCTCTTGCTGACCAATGATCAGCTATTTATTCATAAAGATATAATGTTTAAAGACAAGAGACTAAAAAGCAAATCTTACCTTCAAAAACTGGTACAGGCAGATGGACATCCAGTTGCAAAGCATTCTTTCCACTACTGTCTCTGACCTGAAAAATAAATATGTATCAGATATTAATACTTCAAGAAAAACATTTAGTTATTTTGACATTCATTCCTTGACACTGAGATTCTATCCTTTTCCTAATAAAACCCTTAGAAATCATCACTGCTCCTCTGAATTTGATCCTGTCACTGATTTATCTATATTTGCCCTACTATGAAGCTTTGCTTTCTGTTAAAAACTCTTTAGAAATATTGTTGATGTATTCATCTGTGTTTGCCACTTAGTTGCCGTGTTTTACAGTATGCAAAACACAACTAAACTTGGTTCATTTTAAAGGAAAATTATGTGAGGAGAGGCATGTTATCAGTAGTGATTAAAATAATTTGATCTTGGATATGCTGAAAACATCGCAGTTTGACTATGCCAAAATATTTCTATCCAAAACTCATGCCTAAGGCCTTGTGAGAGATAACTCATGATCATATCAGATATTCACTGGTGGCATCCATTGTTAGCTCATGGCATGCTTAATTAGAAGACTTGTATATAAGGGGACCTGTGTTGGCACAATGGCCTAATAAGCATAATGAGTGTCTCCACTGGGGAATAATTAAGATGTGTGCTTGCACAACAGTTAGTTGCAGCCGGACCGAGCAAAGCAGATAGTTCAGTAAACACAATCTCAAGAGTGCAGTGTCAAATAAATGGGTCCAGCTGAGGGAGTGGAAGCAGCGTGATTTGACCACAACACGATCAACACACTACAAAACATGGTCATCTTTAAAGAATGCAAAATCTGAGTTTCTTTTTCTTTTTCATGTCTACTCTTTGGATTTATTTAAATAAATAATGCTTAAAAACTATCTTTTATTCATAAATAATATGCACGGGGCTACAACCACAGTGTAACAAAGTCAGCTAAGCTAAAAATCAAAGAAATTGCATGCACCAGTCACTCAAAACCCTGTTCCAGCACTTATGAAACCTCAAAAAACTCCTATGTGCGCTTACAAATGGCTCTTTCTTAAAGTCTTTGCTTTGTACGAAACATAGGAAAGAGGTCTCTGCTAAGCCATGACCAGTTCTAATGTTGCCACTATTAAGTCATACATTTTTATCACGTATTTATATATCGATGATTCTCTCACTGTATGTCCAATAAAGTCCCAGTTGAAAATTAAACAGAAAAGTTAATAGAGCAGTAGAGCTCCGGAGAGCTGAGAGCTTGTTCAGAACCCGTGAGTTCCGGGAGCGGCGGCCCTGACGGAGCTGTGAAAGTGGTGTTTAGGCTGTTGTCGGCTTACACGGCTCATTAAGAGCAGAGACTTCTTGCCTGGCCTTGCTACTGCCGCGTGCCAAGACTTTGCTCCGTCGGATCCAAAGTTAGCCCAGTTTCTGACTCTATATACCCAAACCACCGCTGGTGCGTGTGGCTTCCGTGGTTGGCTTCGACACACTTGCGAGGCCAATTTGCTGCCGGTTCCCATGCGTGCCGTTTCATCTGTTCCTCACATTGAACGCAAATAACCCGCTCAGCCACACCCATTCACCTACACGTATGGAACGTAGCATTGCAGTTCTCTGTAAAATAGTGAGCGTTTGTCAATCAGAGTGGGGACTTCTAAAAGAATTGGTGGGTGTTCTTCAGTCATAAAATGTGATTTCCTAGAAAGTGCCTTTGTATTAACACCACTGCAAAATGACAGGCTCTTCAAAGGAAAAAGGAAAAACTGTGAAAAGGGAAAAATCTTTTCTACCATGAAAAATCTATGCACTATTATATAGAGAATACTATTTTTTGGTAGTTAAATCAGAATAAGTATTCTCTTTCATATAAATAATACTATTTTTGGGCAGTTAAATCAGACTGATCAATATTGAGCACGCTAAAAAGCTTGAAAAAACTGAAGGACAAACCTTCAAAGCATTCCATAATATTGTAAATTAAAGTATGATTTTGAAACATTTCCTTTCAATCACTCATAACTGATTTTCTAATCCAAAAGTTAATTCTATTTGCATCAAGTCGGATGGCAGCTTAAGTAATTAAAATAATCAGTATCTTAGATGATATGAGCTGTCCAGATTGGAATGAATCTAATACGAACAATTTTTAGAAAAACCCTTGATGCAGATCACAAGAAAATTCATCCAACAAGCTGAAATGGACTCTGTTGAGACAGGGGAAAAAACAGACGGTGGAACAGAAGGAGGAAAACTGGAATAGATCACGCAGCAGTCTGCCTCTTCATAGTGGACTGCAACAGTCAAGGCGAAACTCAGCAGAAAACATGGCCACAGAATGAAACAATCCACTGCATCTTGAAATGAATCCCAGTCTCTCCAAACCAGCGGGAATTCAGAGCCAAAATTCAGATGCAGGCACTCAACAATCTGAGATTTTTCCCCAATTTGAAATAAATTAGTTCATTATTTATCTAAACCAGCATGGAGAAATGGTAACATAGTCATAAAGATCATTTTGTAAACCATGAAAATCTGTATTTAATTGAACTGCAGTATTTAATCAGTACTTAAACTTTCAAGTATTGAGACCTTTTATTAATCACAGAAAATTGACTGGATGGTGTGAAATAAAATCACATAAAATCCACACGATTCCAGGAGATCTCGGGGAACTGAATTGCTTTCATAACCAGCGGGATGCGAGTGTTGTGACCGGACCATTATCTGCAGAGAAAGGGCAGCCGATCGACACTAACCTGCGCAGCATCAGTTTGGGGTTCTTGCTGTGGACGTATTCCTCCATCAACTCCAGCAACAGCGTCCTCATGATATCCGTGTAGTATTCCAGCTTCCCGTGCAGAGCCACGGTCAGCAGGGAGGCGAAGTACACTTTGGCCCTGGCGTTGAAGTCATGACTGCGCTCCAGGGTTCGGATAAACTAGAAAATAGAATCGCACACAAAACGTGCGCACACATACAAAGAGGCAGGCAAATGATGAGTTGAATTAATCATCATGATGAAGCTTACACACACGCACACACACACACAGGAGAAAATCCAGGATAATATGCCTTTAAATGATCAAATGACTAATGCCAGTGAAAATTATAATTATCAAGGTAATTTTGGCTCTGCCCTGTAAAATATTGTGGCTCAGAAAATGATACCAATTAGTGAAAAAAGAATCACCCCGCACATGCGGTTAACACCTCAGAGGCTGTTTCTGTGCCAGCAATATTGGATTAATAGGAAACTTCACACGTGTCCCTCTGCTGTGTCTGATGCTGCACTCCAACCACAACATGACACACTTCTCAAGCCTGGAAGACTCTTCGGTATACTGAATTGAGTAGGGATACATTTTATAGACATTGGGGAGCTAGGACCATCAGAGTGATGACAGATATTTGTAGTATGTAAATTTATAATCTACTAAAAGAAGGTTTCGCCCCTTTGCATCGCATGTTTAGTGAAATGCCAAACATAGTTTAGTATGCTTGGCATACTTAACTTAGTTCTGTTTATTATAAGAAACTCTTCTATAAAACACAAATAAATGTCTTAGAACATAAAAACCTACAAATTGTCAGGGGCACTCTGAGATTTGGATTAATTCAAAGAGAAGCGGCTTATTTTGTTCGGACACGTCAAACATAATTCTGTCTAAAATTCAGCACAAAGGTTTCTGTTGACAGATGCTTTAAATGAGGTATTTTAAAAAAGATCCCTACATTAAAAAAGTGTGTAAAATGCTGGAATATGATCCTGCAGTTTCTGCAACACAGTGAATCGGAGAGAGAGGTCTCCTTAAACAGTCTAAGGGCATCCATCCAACAGCAATGGAAATTCTTTAAATTGGGCCTCATAAATGGACCCACTGATACTGACATGCACACAATTCTGACACTGGTGTATATATGGTATAATTACATTGATGAGGAAAGTCTTGGAGTTCAAAAGGTTGGAGAACTGGTTGAGCGCTTGTGCCACTGTTGCTTTGCGAGCCTGTGGAATGTCCAGCTTCCCTGTGATCATCACGTCGTTAGCCCCGTCCTTTGAGGGCAAAAAGAAGACCCGGTCCGTGTAGGTCTTGTAGTCCAGGAAAGGGATTCGTCCTTCACTCAGCTCATTGGTGTGGTCCTCCATCTCGATCATCAAATCTGCAAATTAGAAAACAAGGAAATGACCTTAATCTTACTTAATAAGCAGCTGTTGACGCGCACACAAAACAATATTTTAATGTAAATTTGTCTCAGGTGGTTGAGGAGAGGGAACAAGGAGCAATGGCAGGAAAACCAATGAATCAATAAAAGGCAGCGTTATAAATTTGTTTCTAATAACGATGACAGCCTCGCGTTTAAGAGGGAGAGTTCATCAAATTAACGGCAGAACAATACAGTGAACAGTAGAATGATAATGGCAGTGCTAAAGCGCATCAGTTGGAGGCAGGCTGGAGGCAGAGCCTGAGCAGGACTGACTGTACCTGTGAACTCTTTCTTGCAGCGGTCTCGCACACTCTCCTCCAAATTTTCAAGTTGATGTTTGACCTTCTCGTACTCCCTCTCTGCCTGTTGACTCTTTCTCCTGCGGCAGTAACGGAGGAAGAGGTAAGGCACAGGGGCAGCAATATTTGGAATTCCCTTGTCTGTCGACTCTCGACAGTGTAATTGAATTGGATTAATGCAATGAATGAATCATTATGGCACTTTAATTTGGCTAAATTAGCTTAATTTACCTGTAACAGTAGACAGAGATAAAGATGATGAGCAGCATAGGCACAATTACAGCAGGGATGATGATGTAAAGGGACAAATCATTCTTCTTTTCATACTGCACTGAGCCAACCACCCACTCTCCTTTCCCAAATTTGATCTGTGGATAAACACAAAGTGAACGCCTTATCAAAAGAGGTTCAGGATATTTCAGATCGGGATTCGTTTAGCTAAGTTTCACATGATAAAGCCAGCACATTGTGGAGGATATTACAAGTCTAAAGTACTGGATCTACTATGAGCGAGTTTTTTGGCCCTCACAGAGTAGATGAATGTACACTCTATAATCCGGCACTTTTATGTAGGTGTCTTGTACTATTGATAGTCCACTAGCGCCACTTCTTTATGCAGCACTCAGCTACAGAAATGAAACAATAGCGTACTTATTAGACTAACCAACAGGAGAAGTTACACTATTCATCACAATTGTGACGTGACTATAATTAAATGTAATTATAAGGGCCTGTAGCTACATAAAGGCTGTTCAACTGTTGAAAAATACGAGGCGTCTCGGGATGCGCAGAGAACATTCCCGAACAAACACAGTAAAGATTCATGATGCGTGCACGCTCTCAGCAGTGCTGCAATGTGCTTTTGCTCAAGTCCTGCTCCTGAGCACGCATTTAGGAGCCATTTTAAAAAACACAACTCACATTTCATTATCGAAGCCCAACAGGTGTGATTTGTGAACTACCTTTTAAGAAATTTCAAAAGGAATTTTCAAAGTTTGCCTTGTACAGAGCGCTACCGTTGGGGATCATTCTTTGACGACAGCTTTGAGTTTACAATTTGCAATTAGTCACCAATGAATATGAAACAGCGTGCGTCTGTTATGTAGCAGTCACAATACAAAAATAACACAATATAGACATAAGGAGAATTTAAATGATGTACTTATATGCCTTAAAGCTAACTGGTACTGTTAGGTCTTTAACATTTTGTCAAAGAATACACATAAATAACAGTGTTCTATAAACATTCTTAAAAACAAAAAATGATCTGAGTGTAGCATCGATCTACTTATTTGAAATATGTGGTCAATCTGGGGCTGGTCTGACCATTAGATCCAGTAACTCGGGCCGGGTGTCTCGGCGCTGGCGTCTGGAGCGAGAGCGGGGTTGAGTGGACGGTGGGTCCAGGAACAGCTTGTCATCCTGAAGTGTGTTCACCTGACACTGAACGTCACCCACGAAAGCTTGAGCCTCCCTGGCTGTCATAGCTTTGGAGAATCCGCTACCCTGTGGAGAAGAGTCACAGAAGAAATATCGGAGGTGTCATTTTAAAGCAGCACGGGGATGATTTCGACGCCTCAGATGATGAGCACCGGATCCATTATAATGGCACTTTGATTAGCCATGTGTGAAAAATGCATGCTGCAAGCATAAGACGAAAGTAATTAGAATTTATCTAAGAGATTAGGATTATAGTTTCTGTAAACACTTTTGTAAATAGCTTCTTACGGAAGACATTTCAGGGACGGCTCAATCCAATCTTACAGTTCTGGATTTCTGAAACACACAGAGGCTGCTGCACAGGCATCTCCACAAATGCTTTCAATTGGTCTCATGTAGGTTGGAGCACGAGATGATTCAATGAGACGACTGTACAATTACCTGAGATAATTATAGAATTCAAAAAGACTGTGAGGGGATCTTACTTTATATGGTATTTGTCTACATAAAGATTAGATAGGAAAAACATTGCATATTTGATGATATTTCTCTAGATAATGATATAAAGGATATTTTTCTTTTTTCTACTTTGGATAACAATAACCAAAAATAACCATTTTCAGCACAGGAATGCCCAACACCCCTCTTCAAGTGCTTTGCCTTGCCACCTGACAACAGAATCTGAACAAAAATAGGATATATAGAAATATAGAATCAGAGCAGCTCATTTTTAGACTAAATTGATATACCATAAAAGCAGCCAGAGGAAGTACAGAAGGAGCAAACGCATGTAAAAACACAGAAATAAAGGACAGTGGGGATACATATCGAGGTCAAGTTGGTCTATCCTTTATTTAGGGTCAGTTTGGCCAAAGACTATCAAAGGGAAAACTATATGTACTTTTACGGCATTTTAATAGTTTTATGAAATTCCTAACATCCTTTTCAGTTAATCATCCTATGATGTTACAGTTATATTACTCAACTACTCTTTAAGAATAATAAATAGATCTCGAGCGCATCATTTTTGTCAAATTAACTGAGTTAAACAGAATGTGCAGCTAAAGACAGGAAAGGCATGCCAGAGCTAAAATTCCACATGCTCATCGTTTTCATTGTCAGGTCATAGCATTAAAACGTTTTCCTTAATGCCTTTAAGCAAAACGGGTTTCTGGCACACGGTGCTCTCATACTGCACCTGTAAAAGTATCTTTATAGATATCTTCACAGATAACAGCACCACGGATGCTTCTCAATCTCTGGCTTTAGGGCAGTGTTTGAGGCGCCTACTCACAGTGACGATAATGATGCTGGCCTCAGTGATGACCTTCTTGGTCACGTTGTTGAAGATGGGGTTGGGGTAATAGTCAAAGGGCTTAAGCTCCTTCACCCAGTTGTCCAGATGGATGTAGGTTTTAAAGTGCTGGTTCAGAAGGCCGTGAATTGTTGGAGAACGAAACTGGATGAATGTGTCGTTCTTCTCATGGGCCTCCTAAGCAATATCAAGGAGAATATATAAGGAGAGGACAAACTAAGAACAGTAAGACAAGACACAAAGGAAAATATAAAAACAGAATTCAATGGGGGAAAAAACAGGATTAAAGAGGGAAAAGCAAACGGTGGGCGTACGTTGGAATCAATGTTTTTATGTGTTAAGTTCCTTTCAAATATTTGTCTTAAAATTCCAATCTAGTATCTACAATATCAGCACCAACTGATGACTCACAAATCACACTTAGACAAACCTGTGCTGGCATACTGTAATTTTTAACTACTTTTTCTGAAACAATGTTTTGATGGTGGACCTAATCGTGGCAACCAAACCCCAGATTCCAACACACAGGGTTTGGGGTATAACAATTCTTTTTTGTGTAACTAGATTAAATCAGCCAGAATAAGGACTTTAAAAAGGAGGGAGCAAACATAAGTTTCCTCCAGGTGTGCATAATTTGATGGCATTTCCATTAGTTATTTTATGTATTTTTTGTTTCAATTAAATCAACAAGATTACATAAAGTCATTGAATTAATCTAAAAGAAATTCAAACGAGCTCCGTGGGATTGACTGACGGATAAGGAGATGATATCAGACAATCATTAAATCCAACTGGAAATAAGAGGGTTTCCTGAATGAAGAAACTTTTTCTCTAACTGTGTCATCAACCATATGCTGTTTCTTATTTTTCTTACTTTTAGCAACGTGTACTTTAGTCCATTTTAATTAAGTTTCGACACAAACATTAATGTGATACAATAAAGTATGGTCACTGTGCAAGTTTGCTGCACTGGCTATGCAAATTTCCATAAATTAAGTGGTTTAAATCTTGATGAGCCGCTAACCTAACCACCGAATCAACATGTTTTTTTTTTCCTCATGGAAGCTTTCTTAATGAGTTCCCATGTTTGGGTCCAGTTCACAGAACAGATTTAAACCGAGAGTACCTTATTAAAATGGGCAGCCAAGGCCTTTGAGATAACACATTTTATCCACTGTTAGCATGCTGCAGCCAGAAGTGTTTTCAAATCTCCTCTGTCCACGGGTAAAAGGGCCCAAAATCTTGGCCACGGAGTAAAGTGGTGGAGAGTGGCACAGTCACTTAATCTTAATGCTGTTATTGAATTTCGGGCTTAAAAAAATACTAGACAAAATTGCTACTCTATACAGCACAGTACACAGGGGGGCAAGTTCTCGTGCTTAATTAAGCTGGTCAAGGAACATATTTGCATTTAGGTGGGGGCAAACAATTACACTGCTATTTGCAGTCCTTTAAAATGTCTGAAAAGTGAGATGAAGTGCAACTGACGTATGCGCGGTGGTGTGGAAATAACAGCTTGCTCCGACGGGGGCCGAACTTTATGGAGTTTGAATCAATCATTACTTTAGTCATGGGCTAATAGGATATGGGAGGACAGACCTGTGATGTTATCATGAGGGCAGATGAAAAGGAGTCGGTACGCAAGGAAAGCAACAATTAAGAGTGAGATCAAAGAGGATACATGCTGATAAATCAAATTAATAGAGACCTCGATAGATGATAAGTTGTCTCCCTGGACCTTTATGGCAGCAGTTTGGATTAGATCAAACCCAAAGCCGGTCACGTTGATGACCCTCCCGCCACTGAAAACATACACAAAACAGAAATACGCTGTCACACTGACATTTAATACACAAGGTAGATGTCTAAGTCCCTTTTTTTTGTAGATCATAGTATTTAACCTTATTGGTTAACACAGGTTATTTTACTTGTCTTTATTTCCTCATTTTAAAAGCTACTCAAGGGTCCAGGAAATGGGAGATAATAAAAGGTAAGACATCATGATACTGTCTACATTGTAAACATTTGGGAAACATATAGCTAAGATGGGCAGTGTCTATTGCCTGTGGCTGTCTTGAAGATTCAACATCTGGAGACCATACATTTTTTGGGTTTAAGGCAATCCATCAAAGAGAAGCCAAAGACCTGAAAAGGGGTCATTAAACACCTATAGGACTTTTTTCTCTGGGCACCTTGAATGCTTGCAAAAAAGATTCTACGGGGAAAAAAATACTATTTCAAACATGACTCTTAGGTCCATATCAATCTCCTAAAAATCTCATGATGAGAAGGGACAAGGACAGGAGAAAAATAACCATTTCCTGTATTTTCTTTTAGTGTTATGTGGAACTAGGATAAATTAGGACAGCATAGACTGTCTATTAGGACAGTTTATGCTGTCCTAATGACAACGGACTATGACCCAAGACACATGTTTATGTTGAACTGACCAGACAAAGCTTTCTTTAGGGTGATGATCCAGCACGGTGGGGTTTTCTAAGAACTGGAAGGCACTTGCAATGGTTTTTGTGGTACTCTTTCCATACTGCACTTTGATGGGGAGAGCCTCATTTGACACCTTATCTGTTTGGTATTCTCCTGTCCTGCAGGTGATCGCTTCATCTTCAAAGCGTTCCCTGGAAGACAAGGACAAAAGCTCAACTCTTATTAGCTGTAAGAGTGGAAGGTCCAAAAAGGTCACAAACGAATCCAACATGGCAGCAGCCTGACAGTTTGTTAAGTCTAGGCTTTTGTTCTTTTCTTACTCTTTTTTTTTGTCTTTCAGCTCTGCTTAAAATGTCACTGTAGACTGACTTTAAAAGAATATCTGCCATCACTAAGTTAAAGGCAAGTTTTAAGGAACACATTGTTAGGATCAATTCTAATTTTACCTCAGGAATATTATTACAAACCCTAATTACATGAAGAAAATAACTATTCTATAGACTTCTATAGACTTGTGCATGTTGTAGAAAAAGAACACAAGGTAATGTATGAATAACAAGTAGCTCTGTCAGCTCAATAGAAAGAGAATAGGCCACTGGTATGAATGACACCTATTAGAAACATGAAACCCTTACACAATGCAGCCAACGTCTCCAATAGTAACCTGGACATCCTCCTTACTGCCACTGTCCAGAAGTTTTCCATGAATTGTTATGCGTGTGCCCCCTGCTTTAGGACCCTTAGAGGGTGTCACTGTCTCAAGAATGGGGTCCTAGAGAAGAGAGATGAGATTGTTAAGCATAACTTCACAAACACTCATACTTCTTAATTACACACAACCTCCATTTCACAGGCACACCCACAAGCCACGCAGAGATAACAGTGCTATGTCATAAACGTGGCAATTTCCTCTCGTTTTCCTTGATCTACCCCCACCTGCTCCTTCGGAAACAATCTGACACGCAAACTCATGCGAGCAACGCATCGGCCTGAATTCGCTGAGCTAACGGTCAGGCAGCACACTCCCCCTGTGGGGAGGCTTTAACAAAGCCAGAGATACGAAGGACGAGTTGAATAGATATGCAGTGGCCTGATAAAGCATTAGAGAATGAAGCAGAAGCACCGCCCAGCATCTGCTTTAAGAGGAATGAACGTATTTTCAGCTTTATGTACAGTCTTAGTACAGTAATATGTGTCTTGGAGCTCCGTGCAGCCATCACATAATAGATATCCAACATGATATGCATCTGTTATGTTTTGATAATTGCCTCTCTGGATTGTGTAAACAGAAAAATATAGTTTGTTCACCACCGAGACATGCATCTGGGGAGAGTCTATGTTTATGAGTGTGTGCAGATACCCTGTAAGTGAAGCGCATAGAGGAGGTTCCTCTCTTTCCCCCATTTACTTCCACTTCCACCTGGCCCCAGTGTGTCTTTCCAGGGTCAATAGGGCCAATTTCACACACCACGCTGGACCGATTGAGAGAAAGAAACACAAACAGGTTAGAACATATTTCGGAAATAACAACCATTTCAAGATACATTTCTACAATAGCATGCTTCATTGCTTTTTATTTCATAAATAATTAAATTTTAGCAACAGTAGCAGCTTGACTTGCAGACACTGAGAAGCTCCATTTGAGGTGTTTCTAAATGGCTCTTGTCAGGGATAAACATTTGATATAACACTTTTTATTTTTTAAAAAGGGCAACGGGAGTAGCTATCTTGGAAATTTGGTTATATACTCCATATCTTTATACATTATAATCCTGTTTTAGATACATTTTTGAAAAGTCATCAATAAAAACGAGAAATAAATCATTAATAACACTAAATTTGTTTTGGACTGGTTTCACATCCCGATGGCTCATTCAGTTTTTCTTGACACCCGATTTATTCCGATGATCCAAAGATCAAGGCCCCAGTCACAACCCCAGTTTTCATAATTATCATTTCAAAGAACAAGATGTTCAAAAATGTTAGAGTTTTCCTATTTCCTGTCACAATTCAGAGTTTCAGGATATAGATTCATGTGATAAAGCAAACGGAAAATGCAACAGAAGGAAAGTGTGTTGGCTATCCAAGGAGTCGGATTCCACCAAAAGCCTAATTTATGCTAATATGAGGGTAACAACATTACTATAAGCAACCTAAACTGCAGTGTGATTGATTTAAACATCACGATTCTATTAAACTGAACGACACCAATCCACAATCTACAAAACAACCACACGAGGTAACTAACGGCGAGAGGAGCCCTAAAAAGAGGGTGATTTAAGAGTGAAATTCCTCCATCTGGTCACATAAATCCTGGTTTATGTCCGATCATGCAGATGGTTGGGCAGGAATTTGTCGTAAATGTGGCTCCATCCTGCCAGGTGTCAACAGTTCTGGCTAGTGGCTGTTTTCTCTTTTATAGGCCATTTGCATGAAGGGGGCACTTTTACTACACAGCTGGGACTGAGGTACACTTAGACGATTTCAAGTGTATTTACATTTTTTTCTTCCCTTTTTTTAAACAGATCCCAGCCAATTAAACCAGTTGTGTAACATGATGGCACAGAGTATGTGGCAGAAACAAACCCCTAATAAACCTGTGGGAAGCATGTTTGATGCTGCCATAGCTGTGTACCTTAGTATATGATTCTAAGAATACATGTCAGAATGCAGAAGTTTGTCAAATAAATCTTTTAAATTTATTTTGATGTACTTGTGCTTCCAAATGCTTCCTATGCATTTTGAGAGGAAAAAGTATTTTCATTGACGTACTTTTCCAAATCTGTTCTCAGTTCTCAAACGTACACCCATCAGCCATAGCATTTTAACAAATGACGGCTAAACGGAGGAACAGTTTATATTTCTATCCAGTGCTAAATTCTTCCGGTAACAGCTGGATCCTGAGAGTTCCACGGATTTCACTCTGACACCAACCTAAACATTTCTGCAGGCCAATCACCCCACAGCCACACACAAGCAGCTTCTTGCAGAGGGACAGCACTGATCCTTGCAAAAACAATTTAGGAAAGGCTAAAAGCATGTCAAAGAGCCGGAGGTATTCCCCTGACCTTCAAACTGTCCAGATACCAATCTATATACATCCTTGGTAAAGCAAGCCCAAAACACAATAGACCCTCTCCATAACTCATAGAGCCCAAAGGTCTCTGTACTAAGATGCTGGCAAAACACACTCCAGGACACCTGCATTTCCTTGACCACACCTTTATCGGTCAACGCTCTTTTGGCAGGACAAGAAGAGCAGTCTACATTAGTTAGGCGGTCATATTGCTTTTGCTGACGGATGTAGGTAAAATATTGGCGGCAAGGCCGGCTATTAAAGTTAGATGGTGCAGCTATTTCTGCCATTACTTTACGTTTACTGAAGATGCACATGTCTAATTCAGTGTGTATCCCCTTATGGGATAGTGTTTTACATACACCTTCATCTGGAAATTGGCAGATCATTATGTGACAATAGTCGTTATGATTTAGCTCATGCTGAACATCTGCATGCATGTGTGTGATTTTGATGATATAATATACTACCTTGTGGAGACAGAATATTTCTCCTCCTGATGGATACAGGGCTCCCCGACCACTGTAATGCTTTTGATGTCTTCCTTATGAATGCCAAGGTTGGAGCCATGGATAGTGATTGATATGCCTCCCCGCAAGGGGCCAAAACGAGGAATAATCTGGATGGGGAGATACAGAGTATAGAAGGAGGAGTGGGTATTTAAAGGTAGAAGGGATTTAAAATGGATTTGAACAGATTAGACGTGCAATAGCAACATACAAGAGATTTACACAGTCTGTTTGACCTACCGTTTAGCAAAGCATTTTATTTTCTTTCAAGGCCATGGTGGAGAATTACATCAATACAGTGTGAGTCATGCATGTATGTGTGCATGTGCTGCGAACGATTAGTGAGTCAGACACTTGGAAAAAAGTACCAGAAAAAAAAATCAAAGGCTTCTACTTCGAGCTATCACACCAGAAACATGTCTGTGAGAAGAGCATTTTTTGCCAAAGAACACAGCAAATTGAATAATTTGAAGGAATTAGCAAATGGATAAAAAAAGACATGTATATAATGCATATATACACAAGGAAAGAAAATATTATCTTCAACTTCATTATACACTAAACCTAAAACAATCAGATGTAGGCTGCTCGGAGAGCCTGGACTAACTTGAGCTGTGGGCTATGTTCCAATATTAACATCTTAACATGCTTAGAATGATAACGCTTACTTGCCAATGTTCAGCAGATGCTACATTTACAGTACCACATGCACCGTCTATGTGTTCCAGACCAAAACCTGCCGATCATCATTCTATGTACAGAAACAGTTTAGGCCGATGGAAATTTGGACTTGATCCGATCATGCTAAATTAACAGTTAGTGTCTGAATTATTCAAATTTATCCCGTGAGAGCCATTAATCTAAAGAAATGATTTAGCGCCATCCAAACTGTCTCTCAACAGAACTGTAAAGAAAATCAGGATCATCAGAATACGGTACTATGTATCCATCCTGTGTCTTTGTGAAATCCCGAACAACAATCCCGACTTTCCGTTGGCATTCCACTGAATTGTTAGAGGGTAGTCCTTTTTTTCTTTATTAGCACAAGTTGGAAACAAACCAACGCACATATGCACATTAATATTTGCTAAGTATTGTCCCAGGGTGATATGAACACAATTACTTGTGGTTTTTGTCAATGACAAAAAGGTACAAAATATTGATCCTATGTTGACATGATTGGGGAACATTGCAACATGCTCGCAAGGAGACTCCCAAATCTTCAGTCAACACAAGATGAGATGGAAAATCCACAGCCAATAAACTGCTCCGATCAATAACCAAGGTCAATAGCGTTACCCAGCTAATCACAAGTCTTAAAGGGAAGGCACCGTTTCCATTTCAAGAGTAAACATAAGGTGTTGTCGGACAATATCAGCGTTTACTCACGTCGGTGATCTCGGGATTGGGGCACTCGATGTTGTGGGAATCCTGATGCTGGTGGGCACCGCACAGCTTCTCGTAAACACACGCCTTCTGCCTGCTGCACCACACACACCTGTACACCGGGTCGGCGTACTTGCAGAGACTACAGTCCTGCCTCCCCACGGAGCAGTTGTACAGGGTGACTGTGAGAGGGAAAAGCCACAATCACCCATTTTGCATCATGTCAATCGTCTTTAATTTTCACAATTACCCTTTTCAGACCAATGTCTGCCCCCTCGCCTGAATATTTCTAAATAGCAATCCGAATCAAATTGAAACTGTAGATTTTAGATCGCAGAGTTAAATGCAGGTGAGGCCAATAGTTTTTTATAAGTGGCTGACAATCCCCTAGATTCTGTCAAAACACGTTGGATTAGGAAGTAGTTGCCAATTAATTTTCTGATTAAATTTGAATTTGAGATCAAATACAGCTCAAATCTAATGGCCACCGCACACTGGGACTTGCAGAGCACACACGGGGCGTTATAACAAAGATCTCCCCATTAAAATGTAAAAAATGTAAAAATCTACCGTTCAGTTTGCTGTCCATCTTTTTGCCGGACTCCTTGTCCTTCACGTAGAAAAGAACATTGGTCTCTGGTGACTTATCGTAGGAAAACTAAAGAATTGGGGAAAAAATTAATTATTAATATAGAATCCAGTGATTAATGGCACTTAAGCTCTTCACTGCAAACAGTGTGGGCTGCTGCTCCCTCACGTCAGGGGAAAAAGAAAGAAAAGAAAAATTATACCCAGTCTGGCAGATTTTCAGCTGAAGAAATCAATGTTGGAAAAAGAACATAGCTCGGGGCTAGGCACTGCTTGAGCTTACCAATCACAGAATTCACAATGTAGAGAGCGTGCTAAAATAACTCAAGTGAAGGAAGCCTGTCCATAAGAGGGAGCTAGAGAATATCAAAGGGCCTTCAAATGGCTGCAATTGGGTTTTTCATTTATAAATCTGGGACATAAAGATAGCTTTGTAAAGACCGTCTACAAGCAGACTGGTTTGCTGCTGAAAATTTGAATTTGAGTTGTTCTTCTGAATATAACTCACTCTTTTAGTGAAGCTCTAAATCCGAAAAAACTTGTTCAACAAATCAGCAACAGTTAAAAGAGTTGTGTTGAGTGGAGGGCAAATATGGCATTAGGACTTGTATTGAAATGAGCGTGCAGCAATGAGCCCACAGCTATACTCACATCGAAGCCCCCAAAATGGTAGACCCGACCCCCTTCAGACTTGATCTCTTCCTCTGCGTTTTTCATCAGCTCCGTGCCAATTGTGTACGAGTGATCCTGCAGCAAAGCATAAGCAAAAAGAAGAGATGTGGAGTGGTCCTTTAGGCAGATGCTTATTTTCAAACCAACGATCTAACACATACATTTAGACTCATGAAGGCCTTCTATAACTATCTATATATTGCCCATTATTAAAATGGAAAATGTTTCACAGCGCTGTTTCCAGAAGTAAATGGGTCATTCACTGATCCTATGGTTAGTGCTTGATTTCTGATATCTAAGGTGCACATCTGGAATAAAACATTTGAATCTATAAATTCCCCTCAACGAATAACCTGTGCAAGGGTGTGTCTATGATAGAGGGAGTTTGATGTATAGAATGAAGTTGTGTGAAAGCAATATGTGCTATAAAGAGCTTGGAATGGTCAATAGCCCTCAAAAAGCACTGCGTAAATCCAGTGCATTTTCCGGTTCATTATGACTTTGTCATGGTTTTGGACACACAGCGGGAAGCGCCTGCTGGGATCACATGATCCCACCCACATCACTAATGACTTCCTAGGTTAGGTCAAGTTATGCAGATGACTGTCAAATGACTGACAACCCTGTTTTCTGATTTTCGCATTTGCTTTGGTCATATGATACAAAAGAGATTTTATTCTTTTAAAAAGAACAAAAAAATAACTATTGTTATCTGAGAAAATTCATAAAATAAAGATTTCACTACACATGTTCACTTTGATGTTTATGTCCTACTAACCAAATGCAATCAGAATATACAAAGTTCTCGATTCTTTATCAATTTACCTTGTCTTGTTTTAAATTGAGTCCTTCAAAATCGATGCGGGTCTTGTAGCCCACAGGGATCAGGGCGGGGTCTGGATTCTCAAACACGGGACACCGCGACACCTGAAAACACATGGAAACCAATCCAAAGCTCTCACTTTTAATCATTGGCATTTAAAAATATGCACGCCACTTAACAGACACACTCATCTGTGTGACGGATAAGTATATCGCAGAAAACATCTGCTGACTCGTAAATTGATATCCTCCGCACTCAACATTTGTCATGCAAGATGGTCGCCGCAGATAAGAGGGATTTATGGTTTTTTATTAATTTTCAGAAGGAATTTGCCTCGCTCAGGCGCTGCATCACGTGTGTCTTTATAAACTTCTGTTTTACTTTTGGCGACATTGAGATCTTGCACATTCTGTGAGGGGTATTAGACCGTGACTTTAGCCTTTGGGTGACTGACCTCACGATGTTTGATGATGTTAGAGTTGACATCGTTGTCGTCTTTGTCGCTGCAGGTGTGGTCAAGTGTGTTCCACTGGCACCCCCACGGGCTGTTCACACATGACGTGCACCTGGAAATGTACCACATTGCATCAGGCTGAAGATGAATCGTCTTTTAAGACGAGCGTGAGCGCCCATATAATTAGCGGAGAGCTCGCACCCATAAATAAAAGCACGTGCAGAAAGAAAAAAAAAAATTCAAAACATGCCAACTCATCATCGAGCGTCCGGCGCAAAAAAATCTATGTTGCTGACAATAAAATGGATCTGTGCAACTTCACACAAGCAAAGCTCGTTCATCACACATGCCTCGGCGTAAAAGAAATGAAGTAAAAAAAATGAGGGGAAAAAAAAACTGTTGAGATCGACTTTCATTTTTTGATTAATGAAAAGGAAACGGAGGCAATTTCCTCGGCTTGGTAATAAAAAGGAGAGAAAATGCAAGAGGTGCATTCAAAGCTACCATGCATCACAATTTACAAACAGAGCCTTGATCTCTCATCTATTCATGCACGGTGATAAATTTACATGGAGGTTGTCAGTTGATGCCGTGTTCGGTGTCACTGTGAATATTCGGAGAGTGACAGAGCAGAACTGATAGATAAGAATACCACTCACGGTGTGTTTTCCGATTTCCTGACTGTGGCAGCACAGTTGTAGAACTTGAACTCCCGCGTGGCCAGCTGCACTGTGTCATTGACAAAAATCCTAATAGCTACAGCCACAAAATCTGCAGGGATGAGAACAATAACAGTTTACACAATTGAAAAGGCCGAAGACAAAACAAAGCAAGAAAATATGTACTTTTCAACACTTTTTTTGACAAGTCTTGGATTTCACGGTCAGGATGGTCAGTGTCAAAATCTTGTTCTTTTGGTTTTATGTGCAGGGGTGTTTAAATCAAAGGCCCAACAATCCTGTAATGTTACGGCCTGCGATAAATCAAATTACCCAAACCCAGATCAAATAATTAAATTACACACTTTTGGGCCATTACCCACTTTGTCTAGTTAATGACACAGTGTAAGCTTTAACGGATATCCACAGACATTTGTCTTCAAAGGGTAGGTTGATTCGAAAGGTCAAACCTTGATCCTCTGGTGTTCTCGGTATGTGTGAAGATGGCGGCAGATTGCAAGCAATCTGACTGGTGTCCAACATGGTGCCTTCGCTCTGGAATGAGTCAATGCTGCACTTCAGACGATCCGAAGGTCCAATAGCAGGAAGGGAAGGAATGTTGATCTGTATCTGGAATGCAAAAAAAGGAAGCACAAAGAAAATCAGGCTCTTTGATTCTTAGTGAAAACAATGCTGCTTATTACACATTTCCTCGAGAAAGACTTGAGTTAATTTCCAAACGCCGAGCGCAATTCAAACACCTCAGGGAAACTGAAGTAACAGAAAAGAAACCATTTCCTCTTGAAACTCTGGAGATTGATTGAGTGAGGAAGGAGGAGACGGGCTTATGATAGAAATACATGTGTGAGTCACAAAAGGAGGAATGGAGAAGCAGTCTGAAAGTGGGGGGAAATGAAAAAGCAACTTAAAAGGCAAAGCACATAAGAAAGGCTCTCCATCTTCACACAGAGCACAATAAGCCAGGTAAGTTATAAAAAGACAGTTTGGCGTTTTTCTGGAAGGATCGATATAGAACACGAAACACAAAAGGCCAGCGTTTCTGAGTCAACGTGTACAGCTCATCAGACTATGGATAGTTTTTGTGATGTGCACTGAGTGGAGTCACAATTTCTAGAGACAGACAACACGAAAACAAATGAGTGAAGGGTTGTACCTTGTCCGTCTTTTTGCAGGAAAGGTTTGGGGGATAGAAGGATAAAATCTTGACACACTGCTGCCTGGGGCTCCACAGCCAACCATTCTTCTCCTCCGCTCGGCGGCATTCAGACCTCCTGGTACACCTTCAGTTGAGGGATGAACATGGTCAGATCGTGTGCCGTTTCCCACTCACACTTTCATACACACACACATATATATACATATACAGTGGGGGAAATAAGTATTTGACCCCTTGCTGATTTTGCAGGTTTGCCCACTTACAAAGAATGCAACGATATATAACTTTAATCATATGTACATTCTAACAGTGAAAGACAGAATCCCGAAGAAAATTCCAGAAAATCAAATCATATGAATTTATAAAGATTGATAACCATCTGATGAGGAAAAATAAGCATTCTTTGTAAGTGGGCAAACCTGCAATATCAGCAAAGGGTCAAATACTTATTTCCCCCACTGTATATAGGTCCAAAAACTTAAAGAGGTCTTCAGGAGGTTACTAGTCTTGTAAACTGAGGCATACCTGAAAGCTTAAATCAGAATCTTCTGACCTGATTATCATTGCTAGAACTATTATTTTTCTTTTATTATTTTCTTTTGTGTAGAATTTGGTGTCTTTTTTCTGCACTCTCACTTTGTTCAACTGGGGGGTCATTAGTAAGCAGCTCTCCATCTCCGTTTCTGATCATGACCCTGTAAAATACTCGATAGCTTCTATAGATTCACACCTCTCTACTCGCAGGACCCCGATAAATATAGGCCAACGAGAGTAAAATTGCAATCTGGCCTCAGTGCACGAGGCTGACGAGCAGCTTTGATTCCTCACGGCGCCATGAGCAGAAGATGGAACATAAACGGAGCGAGGTACTAAAACGTGTCTGAGATAAAACACCAAACAAAGACGCTGCTGTGTTATGCAGACAGAAACTGTATGTGTGGGTGTTTGCACGAGTCGGTTTCTGCGCGTTCGGAATTGGAACGGTTGCCTGCATCCATGTGTGTGTCAGAAAAAGACGGAGAGAGAGAGAGAGAGAGAGAGAGAGAGATCCTCACCTGCCCTCCAGGACACACCAGCCACAGTAAGGATCCCTCAGTGCCACGCATGATTGGCAGTCTTCCTTTTGGAGGCACGTCTGCACCGGGACCTTGGTGATCTGGAGAATTACAACACAGAATATGATCAAACCGAGCACCTGAGGGGGAGACACTCCATACAGCTAGAAATGCCTCTTGCTGTGTTCGGGATGTGCAGAACAGGATTGAAACAATTCCTGTCAGAGAAAAAGGTCATGTTCACTTACTGTAAAAAAAAAAAAACAAATTGCTAAGAACAAATAACAAATGTGCCGGTCCAAAGAATTACTTTCTATTTATGTAGGAGTTCTTCTGCAAGCTTAAAACTAAATGTTGATCAGGTCAGTCTGTTTTTCCAAAAATATTTTCCTATCTATGTCAATCAATCAATCCATACTGTGAGTGGCCTGCTATATATTTGGATGTGCGAAAAAGGCAGAGGGGCTCTTTTGGTTTCTTTGTTAGTTCTTCATATAACTATTTAACACTACGAGTGCCTTCCAGGGGAGGTTAAAAATATTCCTCTCGTTTAGAATCGCTTTGCATCTCTACGTTCTGTAAGAGAGTTGGCGTTCAGCGCAAGATTTTACAGAGCTTGGCAGAGCTATAAACACATTTTATCTCTAACACAGTTTTGCATCCCATATAAATGAGTTTTTCTCCAATACAAGCCAACCTTTAACCAACCATCTTTCAGATGACTGAATAAGTGAAGTTAAATGAAATCACAACTCAGTATAAAGCTACACAATGGCACAATGAAATGTAAGAGAGATCATTCTGTGCTCATGTGTATAACATTTGCAATCGAGGTTGTATATTAATTGAAGGCAACATTAATCTGCATCTATTTATACAGCAGCAATAATTTTCAGTGGTGTAAAGAATATAATATAATAACAGAGTTTTTAACAGGAACAGATCTACCAAGAAAAAAAAAACACTTTCATTTGGATGTCAACGTTTTTGTAAATTCCACTAGGGCTTTTTTAATTTTCTCTTCCTGGCATGTGATATTTAGCATTCTTGATTGACTTATTGTTTATGTTTGTAAAGGCCACTAAACAAACATTTCACAGCAATCAATTTAGCGTTACAAAATGAACAAAACTATCAGATAACAACAAGTTTAAACAGTACTCTAAAATATCCACAGCTGGAGGTGTGCACTATACACATGATATTGAAAAATAAATTTGTTTCACGTATGTATTAAGAAAATTCATTGCTTTCATTAATTCAAGAAAACATTTGGTAAAAGTCTGACTTTGCAAATCACTATGGCAAAACGCTCAATAACAAAGATGGTCTCGCTATAATATGTTTTAAAACATAAATCTTGGTGTTATCAGGTCATCTCCAGTGACAGTATGTTGGCTTGTATGTATGTTTGCAGCACCGACTGAGGGTCTTATCTTTTACAGACTTCACTTCTTTATTTGTCCATCTGAAGTGACAAAAGGATTGTGTATCTAGCTTTGAGTGCCATCATAAAGCATGCAACCTCCACGGGGACCTCTGCTCGTATGACGGGTGACACACCTTTTTGTCTGTGGTAATGTAGAGGTGGCTGTGACTGCGGTCAAAGAAAAGGTTTTTGTTGACCTTCCCCCCAGAGGAGTCCCCAGGAAGCTTGTTGTACTCTTCCGGAGCCTCCGTTAGGTGAACCTGGATAAAAAAGGACGTTACAGTGTGTTACATGGTGGTTTTAAATTAACCTGCCATTATTTCTTTTGGGTTTTTTTTTTTAAAAACAACTCCACCTTAAAGACGTCTCCCTGGCTATTTCCCAAGAAGGCAATGGAATGCTCATTCTCTACAACCACAGCCACACTGGTCAGAAGGGTGGAGGTTATCCATTCTGCAGGTGCCGTTAAGGCAAATCTCGGCTTGCTTGCTAGAGGGGATGGCAGAAAGTCTGCACCACACTTGAAAGTTTGTAACGTGTCCTTCTGTAAAGACAAAAGATTGTACATGAGGACCACAGATCAAATGACCTAGCCATAAAAGAACTAAACTCAATGAACATTAAAAAGAAACAACAAAAGCAAAAAGGTTTTACCAAAACATAAACCGTAATATTTCCTTCTGAAATTGTTTGTTTTGGACTTGTATGCAAAAACAGATTAATCTTTTTTAAGAAGTAAATATGGGATAAGAACTGTGGAAACTTTAGCAGCCAATTCAACCCATTGAATTGACACGGTAGGGTGTGTAAAAAAAATGGCGTTTCGTGTTTTATTTTAACTGAAGAAGAGGTCGAGACTTTTGATGACTAGATGTCTTCATGGTAGAACAAAGAAATGGGTAAAGATGAAATCAACTTAAATTGAAAGATACACTCACTAAAATCTTTGCTGAGCAGAACTCGTCGGTTTTAGATGAGTAGGGAATGTCCACAGCAGGAATCCCTGAGATCTTTCCGGAGTCACTGTAACATGCACTGATGATATCCACCAGCCGCTCATTGATGGCGTTGAGGGGGTACATGCAGAGGGCGGAGCTGTCGTCTCCTTCATCAGAACTGGCCACCACGAACAGGACTTTATTCCACGACATGACAGTCCCGTAGTCACTTGACGCAGTCATGACTCGAGCCAGCTCTTTCCCAGGGGAAGCCACATAAGCGGCCTGAACCTTGTTGTACTTGTTTTTCAGCCCACAGCTCAACTGGAGTTCTGTGTACGAGTAGTAGTTGATATCTTCCTCGCAGAGACGGGAAACGAAAGTGAAGTTCTTGTTGTCTGAGCCGTCCAGAGTCCGAGAAAAGAGAAAATAAACGAAGCCGTCCTCTTTGAAGGCGTGCCGGAAGTCGTGCAGGTACTTGGGAACGAACGGCGTGGTCTGTACCGTCGAGGCCTCAATAATGCTTTCAAACACCACCCAGTCACCAAAGTTATCAAGGATGCGTGTACTGATGAGCTTTGTGCTGTCCAGGCTTCCGTAGCCCTTCCCGACCACAAAGACCTTGAGGGTTTTATCTTTCGTGTAGGTGGACATGACCCCCACAACGTTCACGTTATCCTCGATACTGGCGACATAAGTCCTCTCTCCCTGGTTGTCCCGGTAATACAGCTGCTGCTCCACGTTAGAGAGGTTGAGCAGGGAGCAGATGCCCCTAAAGCGACTGCCACAAACGATGAGCGAGCCGTTGGACGGGTGGACCAGCAGAAGCTTGTTGAGGTTGGGCATGGGGGTGGTGTCCTGGCAGGCCGAGGCGGGAGGCGTACACGTCCTGGCGTCTTTTTTGGGGCCCGTCTCCGCACGGGCCTCCACCCGAAGCGAGGACGCCAGCTGGTAGATGGAGTTGACCGCCCCCAGGTATATCCGGCCCGTCTCGGGGTCCTGGACCACGTTGTTGATGGGGGTGTCGGAGGAGAACTCCGCGATGCTGCTCTCCACCTGGGCCCGCGATATGAACGTGCCACAGAGGAAAAGTAGGATGGAGACCCAGCTTGCCATCTCTGAAAGAAAGAGAGAAAGAGGTTGCATTTTATTATCAACTGAGATTAATGCACAATAAAAAGTCCCCAATGGTCAGAAACACCTATTTTCCAATAGTCTATTACTATTTAAAAGGGGAAACTCTTTGTTTTTGTCAGTCATTCTGAGAAACAAAATCTGCTTTCACAAGGAGGAAACAGAAAACACTGATTTCTGAACTTGGCTTATGGCAGTAGTTTCTTAATAATGTATCAAATTACAATGCAAATGAAATGTCACCTCTTTCCAGACGTCCAACTGAACTGAGGTCAGAGCCACATCTCTGGTTCCAATTCAATAAACATATCTGACAATGGTATCAATCTCTGACCCAAACTAATTCTACTGTTATAAACAAGATTATGTAAAGTACCAGTAAAACTAATTTGGGTGAACTGACCCTTCAGAGTTATTTCAAGATATTTATGGAGTTAATCACTGGAGTAAAACCATTTAAAAACTGCCTCAAGGTAAGAGTGCTCATGCTAGCTGTTTGTGTGTGACTCAACTCTGCGCCCTAGTTTTATACAGGCCATGTTATTTTGGATTTAATTGACTTCATATCAGAAATGATCGCTGGTAAGAAAATAAAACTGCTCTGTGTAGGGGTAAAGAGATTGAGGCCAACAGCTAGATCTCAACCCAAAACACAGTAAAAGCCTATTTAAAAAGCTTGGATCCTTTCCAGATTAATTTGCACTTTGCAACCCAACCCCCCCTTCTTCCCCTTTCAACAACACCTCCTAACACAATGTGCTCAGGAAGAACACAGTTTTGTCTGAGGAAACTTGATCACACTATATCCTTGTACTATACAGACAGCATTATGTACTGGCAAACAGCAGGTGCTTCGCTCACTGCTGTTTGCCCAAGCTGTGGTAAATATGGAACTGCAGGTGGTTTTGCAGCCGCTGTTGCCCACACAACAAATGTGCATGTGGGTCTGAATGTAGTTTTGCGCTTACACACTCTGAGTGGTAAAGTCTTTTTCATTTCTACTTCCCAGTCGAGTCCAAAGGGCCATCTTGGAAAAAAAAAATTCAGAGTGCTCTGAGGAAAAATAGCCAAAGCTGTGTTTTAGTACATCAACCTGCCTTTGCTTACGGGACTGAGTGGGGAGACCACTGATTAGACATTCGCCCGGGGGGGATTATCGTTAATTTCACCGGAAACACTCATTTGCATTTAATTGCCCACCACTTGATTTGGCGATTTTATTTTTCTTTCCATTTACCGCCTCAATCCCTTTCCCACACCTTAACCAATTTCCCTGCATAAATGTATCGTGCCCTTTTCAATTCACAGCCTTAAATTTTCCATTAAAATTGAAATGGTGCAATAAAATCCCTGTCTCTGCTTACTCAGGACAGAAATGTGTGCGGTAGGTTTTTTACAGATTTAATTAAGAAGGTGGGGCTGTCCTCTCAAGATTGACTTATGGGCGGTGGACAAAAAGTAAGATAAAAAAAAAAAAAATCTGGAGGTTACAGAGCTCTATAGAGTGGACAAAATGATGGGAAAATGTGGACCATATTTTCTGCTTCTAAGAGACAAAACTTCAATTTCAGAGATCTCCACTTGCAATTATAAGCCTGCCTCAGCTTGAAGCGACAACAATGAGTTTTATGGTCGGGTTTTCAAGAAAAACATCACAAAAACTGCCCAAGCTGCAAAAACATCCTTGCGGTGACAAAAGGTTGGCAGGACGGGTAAAACAGAGCCACCTGGCACTGACAAAGAGAGACGTCAGAAATGTTCAAATGAAAGGTGGAAAAATGGTTCTTGAAAATGACTGAACACCCCGCTGAGCCGCTGCTGCTTCATCAAAGTTTGCTGTTAAACTTCAGGTGGGCTGATTGGCTAAATGACCTTCAACATATTTTTTCTCTGTTTATTAAAAGATTTGGCCAGTAAAGGTCCTCCACTTTTCACTTGAGAAGTTGATCTTGTGTACATTACTTAACGTAACTCGTAATAAAAAATAAAAAAAGATTTGTCCTCTTGGTTCTTTGAAACCGTTTTTTAGGTTAAAAAAACTAGTGGTTGTGTTTTTACACATGTTTCTGATGGTCTGATATCTGCTTACAACTATAATAGAATTATCTTCATCAGGAAAACATTGAAAAGGTTGATTTTACCCGCACGGTTTGTCTCTTAGACAGCGGCAAAATGATGTTTTGAGCTTTTGGTCTAGCCCTGAGTCAGGTAGAAATACAAATTTCCTTCAGAATTTCCATTAAAGGTCAGTAAAACACATTTCAGAACATGTTTCAAATGAGCTTTGTTTGTCCAATGACATTTTCTCCAGTGATTGGATCACTTTCAAGCCTTTTTGGGTGGCCTTGCCCTGCCTGTTGTAAATTCAGAGAGCTGAGGATACAGTGGTCCGGCTGGAATGAGAGGTTTTCCAGCCCTCATCAGCCCACCTTTGTTTTTTCTGCATATTTGTGAGCTGCTACGAGGATACATGGTAACCGGGCCCAATTTCCAACACGTGGTTATTCTGAATAAATAAAAAAGCAGCTATATTTAGAGGCTGCATGCCACATCAACCCCCAGTTAATGAAGCCTCCAATGGCCTTGAATAAATAATAATGAAACACATCATGCACTAATGAAGCTGCCACATATGAAAAATGTGATCCTGTGAAAGACACAATTGTTGAATTCAGACAGCCGGATGCCAACCCGAAATTAGGTTTCACATTCAATCTCTTTTCACATTTAACTATACTGATAAGAAAAAGAAAATGTGGAGACACATCTTTAAACTGAACTGATTAGCCACAATAAACCTTTTCTGGTGGAGAAAAAAACTAATTTGATATATCAGAAATGTTATATATGAAAGTAGCATGTGATGAATGTTGCAAACAGGTGGCTCTCAAGCTGTTATCATCTAAATATGTAAATGATCATTTCAATTTTGTTTTCCAGTGCTCAGTTTTTATTTAGATTCTTTCTTTGTGCCGGAAAAGGCACGGTTCAGTTTACCAGGCACTATGGTTCACACCTTTTTAATGCTCAATTTGTTCTCTAGAATAAAGTGTAATCTTAAAGAATGAAAAGAAAACAACAAAAGCAAAACAAATACTGAGAGATAGACTTGACTGTAAAATATAATGCTTAAGAGTCTTTCGGAATCAGCAGTCGCATTTCTGTTCTCCTGGTCCTCTCATCATTGATCCGCCTCTTTCAGTCAGCACTGCCATGGAAACGCTAATGCGATCGCTAACACTTGCACTCAATTAACAGCTAATTATCCGGGTTATACCTGGTTCAGGCGGATGCTGCCTAGTACAACAATGCTTCAAATAACTCTTGCCATCGTGACAGTTATGATGCTCAGTTTTAATAATAAACTGACTCTCTTGTCGTTACGCATCTCAACAGATTCAAACACGGATGTAACAAATTTATAAGCGATATAAGGTTTAAGGTTTTTACCATTGTGATGCAGGACAAAAGTCTGTATAACTTCATCAGGACCACCTAGTCCTCAATGCCTGAATTTAATTAAAGTAAAGAAAAAGAGGCATTTCATGATGTCTGGCACAGGAAGGGTCATGAAAGACCATCAAGCACAACAGTTTCAATGTTGAATGATTTTTACTTTCTCTACTAGTTTCATTACAGGTACCGAAAGAGTTGGATAATGGTGATTTGGCCAAATGAAATAAAGCGATTATCATAATTGTAAAAAAATCTTTCACAATACAGAAAGTGCTCATTGAAAAACTTAAACCCTGCTTGTAACATCAAAGTTTTGTCCACTTGCAGATATCTGAGAATAGATATCAGCTCTTGTCTTGCAGTTATTACTTCTGTTGGCGAGAGAAAATCATAAGGGGAAAAACTGACATACTGCAGGTATGGGCTTGTGTATAACGCTTAAAGGTGTGTTTCCTCAGCTCACTTAAAGCATGCATTGTTTCTGTGGCCTACAAATATCTCGTTCTGCCTTTGCGCGACAAGCTGGGACACGTCTGGACAGGAGAGGCAGCTCTGAGCAGAGCAAAATTATGGATAATTGAAAAAAATGTCTGTTGAGCGTAGACACACACACACACTGAATCACGCTGGCTTTCGACCGCTTGTGCGCACATCACTAAAAGCACCCGCTCAGCTTAAGAGTGCTGACGAGGTAATCCCACTCCGACCACACAGAGACACTCCTCTCCAAAAACCTGCCGCGCTGTTTTTCTCTGACCCAGGGGCACTAAAACACACGTCCACACGCCCGTCGGCCAATCCTCTCGCCGGGGGGACGCTAGTAACTGAGGCTGGATGAGGGAGCAAAAGATCAGAGAGAAGGAAGGGGAAAAATTAGAAGGGGGGTGGGGGGGTTATGATTAAATCACACACGCACGCAGTTCTAGAACTGCTGACCTGGCATGTTTTGGAATCAGCATGAGTGCTCTTCTCGCTCATTAAAACAGATACAGAATGATAGCTGATATAATAAATAAATAACAGACACCCCACAAAGAAAACATAATAGGATACCACCCCATGGTGGGATCATTCATATTCAGCACTTTCTGTACAAGAGAAGCCGGCTTCCACGGATGACAGCTGTGACACAAATGTGTGGGGGTATGAGGGGTGAAACCGCTTTAACTAGTCTGCCATGATAAAAGAGATACGCAATTAAATTACTTGCCTGTACCAAAAAGGCCTCGGCCCTAGAGTGGATGGAGAGGTCAGCGAGAGGTTATGCCTCTTCTTAACAAAGAAAGAGGAGTCAGGGGCAGATCTTTGTCTTTTATTTTCCTTCTACCATCAAAGGAAAGGATGGGCAAAACAAGAAGCATTGTTAAAGATAAATAATGGAGAAGGGAGGGGGTGAAGAAAGACTACTTTCTTTCACTGGATGTCTCCCATTTGCCATTTCTTTCTCAAACTGGCACGCACCCCTCTCATCCTTACAGTGAGATCGCTTCACAAGTTGCAACGGGAGGCTGGTGTGACGATGGCAATCCAATTTCCATATGAACAATTACTCCGCC